CAGAGCAATGAAAACAAAAAAGCAGTCATATGGTAATCTGAAACTCAAACTTATTGAGACATCTCATGAGAGATAATTTAACATATAACATCTCTGATGCCCCCTAGCACTAGGGCCACACACACAAGTCATATTCAATGCATTTAAACAACCTGATAAAGTTAATCAGCTCCAATTCATTCAATACTTCAATTCAAGAGTGTTTCAATAAGCTTATTGCTTCCAACACAATCAAACTAAAACTAATACTGCAATTTTTAAATCTATCCAATTGATTTCAAATCTCCTATGCAGTGATCTCCCCTTATCAGTAGTCTGCCAAGGGACGTAATTGCTGTGGAGGAATTTGATTTCAGTAAAATTACACATCAGGGGAGGTAACCATGGGAGGTAGCTGGAAATATATTTTTTGATTAAGCCTAGAGTTTCCTTCATATAAAATCATTTACAAAATTGTAAGTAAAATATACATCATTTCATGATACCATTCAAAAATTAAATATGATGCAAAAAAATCCTTGTACTTGTTCAGCACCTTATCCATCTAAAACAAATATTAAACACATACTCAGAGATCTTTAAACATTACCCTTTCATATTAGTTATAGAGATTGTTCAAAATCTCCCCTCAAAAACTAACTTTATAAATTATTCAATAGAATGCTTCATACAAAAATTAAAAAGAAACTTTTGCAAGGAAATTTAAACAATTACCATTTATAACTTAAGAAAAAAAAACATCACTGGCTCTGAGACATTGTAAATTCATTACAAGAACCACATTATTGGTTCAATAAATGATGACAAAAAGGTGTCAGCTGAGTGACTAGCACGTGATTTAATAGCATTTCTCTTTATCACAATGTACAGTAAGGTAGATGTCATAATGATGCTTAGACTGTGTTTCAATTTCCCCCAAATTGTCTTCACAATTGCAGCTCTCTCTCTGGAGGAAGTGGTGAAAAGTACCAGTCTACGTGTTCTTTGGTCACCCCTTCAACTGTGGCAGGATCCCATTTCGGACTCTGATCTTTGTCTATTAATACTGCAAAAAAAATATAAATAAATAAACATGCATAAAATTATATTTAAAAATACAAAACTAAACAAAATTTAACAATATATGATGTATCCCTATTAAACTTTCTTTTTCTATTATTTGAAAAGTGGGTAATTACAAAACATGTTTTAGGCTTTCCTTTTAAAGTCCAACAAAACCTTAAAGAATCACAGAAATCCTATTAACCATAAAATTATGTCTCTAAACAATCTGGGCATTTTGTTCATTGGTGATTTGCTTGATATCAGTATGTTGCTAACCATAAAATAGCAAATAAAATTAATAATCATTGATTTGTACTTATAGGTATACAGTGCAAGATCTTGTGACAATCACAATCAAGTTAAGTTCAAAAGTTCAAATAACTGCCACATATGTGGATTTTTATAAATTCAAAATTTAACTATTTCATGTTAAAATGTTGAATTCTGCTTAAGCTGGTGCTAAGGGGGCGTAGATAGTAGTTTGCACTTGACAGTACCATCCATGAAAAGGCTCAATCAAACTGAGCCTGCAACATTTTCAATTTTGCTGTTTTGGGCTTTCTTTAGGGATTCTTATTTTCTCTATTTTACATGTAGATCTGATTGTCAGAAACCCTTTTTTTCCCTAGCCAAACTAGATATTCCAATAAGGCTATTTGTAGCCCACCAATAAAATTATCCATTTCAGAGCAGCGTTTTACAAAAACATCATCTTTTGTGAAGTTAGTAATCTGTTGTTAATTTTGCCTAACAAAAAAAATCAAGTAGACATTTGGATTTTGAAAACATTTTATGCGGAACAATAAATTCTATCATTTTTGTTATTAATGCATTGATTCAAGATTATTTATCTATTAAGCATTAAAAATTTAACATTGACATTTTTGTTCACCAGTATTATCTTGAAATTGTTAAATTATGAACACATTTCTAGTTTCCCAATGATTTAAAATAGAAATTGATCCACTTTCAAAAAAGTTACAGCTGCCACTGATTGGCTGATTGAGGGGTCAAAAGAAGCTGACCTCTTATCTGTCACTGTCAGATCCTTAAGCATAGCATTATTCATGAGCTGATTTTTAGTCACATTATGCCAATCATAGCAGAGTTTTCATTTCTATCTGAGGCAAAATATGTGCCACTGAAAACAACTTATTTGGATATTTAAATCAACAGGCTAAATATACATCTAATTTCAACAGCATGTTGACCGATGATATGGATCGCCAATCTGTTAACAATGAAAGCCTGTCATAGACGGAATAAAACAGACAAATGTTACCTGCTCTAACACCTTCATAGAAATCTTTATCTTCTATACATCTCTGACTTAGTCTGTACTCTACCTCGAGATCTTCCTGTAATGTCCTAGCAGTTCCCTCATTCAATAATCGTAATGTTATCTTCATAGAAACTGGTGACTAAAACACATGTGATCAAATATTACATGATGACAAATATCCACTCTTTTTAAAGCGGCATATCGCCAGATTTGTGTAATGTTTTATATAATCTGACAAATTGTTCGAATGAGCAAAAAGAAAACGTTGTTAAGAGTACAAACTAAAAGAGTTCCGCTGAGTTTAAAAGCCTAAAATTTGAAAATAGATCATCTGGGGCACATTAAATGGAAAAATTATGAAAATCTTGAGGAAAATGTCTGTCAGCCATCACTGCTTCAGTCACACAACTGCTTCAAAGTCAGTCACCATTACTTCAAAGTCAGAAAATGCTTCAAAGTCAGTTATCACTACTTTGAAGTCACACAAACGCTTTTAAGTCAATCGTATAACTTTAACTTTGAAGCATATCAGTTTCAAAGTCAGTTTTGAAGTCTTTTATATCAAAAAAATTTCACTTTGTCATCAAAACTTCAAATCAGCTTCAACAGCTCTGCAGCAAGTTGCAATAACTGCAGTTAAATTTACATGTATCTTCTCACCAATGATTTTGTTGAGGGGTACAAATGTACTTATAATTACAACATTCAAAATTTTAAAAAGGAAACCAATACAATGTTATTTTAATATAACATTAACAAACCATTTTCTTTAGTGTTTCTAGCTGTTTTGATGCCCATGGAGAACCATCTTTTTCAAGGTTTTGCATAATTTCTTCCACTGTTTCACCTTCAAACAATCTGTTTATTTCCTCCATGTGATCCCTTAAGATAAAGTCTGTATCAGGTATACCTGTGCTCTGGTGGAATAAATTATCACTATGTTATCTTAAATGTGTACACTTTGGAATGATAAGGAAGAAAATATTTAGACTACTTGACCAACTCTCAAAACCGTTTCCTGGACCTAACCAGTACTGATATCATATGAAGAAAAATAGTCAAGAAAATTAAATTCCAGAAAGTCAAAATCAATTCCCTGAGATAGGAATAGCAATAGACTTGTGCAAAGGTTACATTGGCTATAAGTATAGAACCAGTCAAGCCTGTCCATCTATACAGTATGAAAACACTCAATAACATTGCCGCCTCAGGCTTTTTTTGGTGACTTCAATCATAAGTCATAATGGACACTGTTATGGACATATGGTGACTTTCTAACTTGACTTGCAGAAAAAACTTGGGTGCACCTTTGCTTTATTTCAGGCACAAGCAGTCTTCAGAATGGAACCATACATGGTGGATAGCTTCCCGACGAAAAAAATTCCAAAGTCCCTGACTGGACTGTTTTACAATGAAGGACAAGTCTGTCATACAAATTTAGCTATGTAAAAGGTAGGAGTTAATTAAAAGGTCACAGCGAGGACTTACCTCGTGCTGAAACTTATCCAGTACATGAGCAACATCCAACGGCTCTGGATCATGTAATTTAAGTAATGACTCCTCTAAGGCATGCATCTGAAAATGACAAAGATCTATCTATACTTAATATATAACAAAATAATACAGTATGCACATACATGTACTAGCATTTGATATTCATTTTTTTTTAACAATTGCAATATTATATAAAACATTACATAAAACAAACACACATTAAAATCATTTTTAACACTCAAAGACCAAGATCAATTAGCAAGAGAAATTTCACCCTGCCCAAGGATCGTAATGTTTTGTACTGTATATCTGTTTAACATTTGATATATGTGCAGCTTTATTTTTTGTAAAAGTAAGTAACCTTATCAGATTGTACAAAGTGAGTGGCAACTCCTGCTTTCTGGACGTCCCTTCCTTTCAACCTGAATCCTGTAAGTGCCAGGTAGACTCCTAACCTACCACCCAATCTTGACAAGAAATACCCTCCACCAACATCAGGAAACAAACCTGAAATAATGGTTAAATTGTAAAAATCGGGAAACAAACCTGAAATAATGGTTACATTGTAAACAAACCTGAAATAATGGTTACATTGTAAACAAACCTGAAATAATGGTTACATTGTAAACAAACCTGAAAAAATGGTAACATTGTAAACAAACCCGAAAAATATGGTAACATTGTAAAAAACCTGAAATAATGGTTACATTCTAAACAAACCTGAATAATGGTTACATTGTAAACAAACCTGAAATAATGGTAACATTGTAAACAAACCTGAAATAATGGTTACATTGTAAACAAACCTGAAATAATGGTAACATTGTAAACAAACCTGAAATAATGGTTACATTGTAAACAAACCTGAAATAATGGTAACATTGTAAACAAACCTGAAATAATGGTTACATTGTAAACAAACCTGAAATAATGGTAACATTGTAAACAAACCTGAAATAATAGTAACATTGTAAACAAACCTGAAATAATGGTTACATTGTAAACAAACCTGAAATAATGGTAACATTGTACACATCAAATTCACAATAAAACAAAAACTTTTTTTAAATTTATGTCACACAGGCACTTTAAAAATTTATGTCACACAGGCACTTTAAAGGACATAATATTTATGGCTACTTTTCGGCTTTACTTGTGGACGATGACATCTGGGCACCTGAGAAAAACCAATGATTGTAAGCTCGCTGGACAGCTTCCTCAAATGAAAGATTCCAAAGTCCTTGATAGGATTCTAACCCACAGAAGTGAGAGACAATTTTTGTGACCATAAAAGAAGCAAAATGCAGAACATTATTCGATACCTCTATAGCATCCACCGACGAGCCTTGCCTCTACAATAAATATGACAATTAATCAAGGCAATAACTTGAACCTTCCATAATAACATAAAGTGATGCCATCAAAAATATATGTAAGTATTTCAGACAATAGTAATAAGCCTAGACAGACTTAACAAATGTGCCAGATCCTGTTGGCAAAGCCTAAGCTGTGAATGTCAGTTTCAATAATTATAAAAAATACACTCACCAATGGCAGTTTCAGGCATTGCAAATAAGGTTCTTTCTGTAGCAACTCTGTATGTCCCATGTACAGATAGACCGACACCCTGTGAATAGATGACAAAAGTTTAGTTGAATAAATGACAAAAATCTAGTCATACCAGAGTTTTAAACCTACATGTACTTATAAAAGTGATATTTCTGACTAAAAATTATAAACAATATAAATTACTTAAAACTTAGCTTGCTTTACAAAATACCTTTTAATTTGGTTTATATTATGGACGAATATTAAGCAAAATCACATACAGTATGTTTACATTTTAATTTGAAATTCAACTATATGTAAGGAGGCATGGTACATTTTTTTTTCAGGATCAAAAAGAAACATGTAAATATTAGTTAATTCAAGCTCTTGACATAATCTTGAATAAAGAATATACTTACCCCACCCATAGTAATGCCGTCAATAAATGCTATATAAGGAATCTCATATGTACCTAAAAATAAATAAAACACCTATAGTTTGTTTGTTATGCTTATTCTAAATAATTACTAGCCACCAGTCCAGCTAAACAAGCAAATTCATAGAATTTATATCTCCCGCAGAGTACTGGTTATTACTAACACAACAACTGAAGACAAAGGGCTTAATTTATATATTTATCATGGCAAAAACAGTTATATTCTTTGAACTTGATAAATATACAGGGCAGAACAGAGCCATAACTCTAGTGTTAAATAGTAATATCTGGAAATGTCAATGAGATGTATGCATACTGCATAACTAATCAAGGGCCATAAATCTGAGTTATAAGTATCTGACCGGAACAAGGGGAGTGTATGAACATCTCCTCTTCGTATCCCATAAAGTTTCATTGAATTCCAGCCAGTAGTTACAGAGAAGTAGCACAAAAAACAATTATTGCTCTGTATTTATACTGCATAAGTTATCAAGGGCCATAACTCTAAGTTTAAATGTCTGACACAAACAAGGCGACGATATGCCCATCTCCTCTTGGTATCGAAGGTTCCAATAAAGTTTCATTGAATTCCAACCAGTAGTTGCAGAGAAGTAGTGCAGAAACAAATATTTTTCTATATGCATACTGCATAACTAATCAAGGGCCATAACTCTGAATTAAAGTGTCTGACCGGAACAAGCCGACGATATGCGCATCCCCTCTTGATATTGAAGGTTCCCATAAAGTTTCATTGAATTCCAGCCAGTAGTTGCAGAGAGGTAGCGTGGAAACGATTTTTACTCTATATGCATACTGCATAACTAATCAAGGGCCATAACTCTGAGTTAAATGGTCTGACTGGAACAAGTCGACGATATGCGCATCTCCTCTTGATACTGATAATTCCCATAAAGTTTTGTTGAATTACAGCCAGTAGTTGCAGAGAACTAGTCCGGAAAAGAAATTCAGACGGACGGATGGACGGACGGACAAAAGGACGGACAACGCCAAAACTATTCAAAACAACTTTCCATGATTACCAACCTGTAATTACTAATTTCTACACAATGTTACCAATGTTAATCCCATACGATTTCTGATTAAGCATTAATGCCCAAAAGACTCAATGTCAAAGATAAAATGTTACAGATAAAATTTTCCTTGCCAACAAAATGGCTCACAATTCTGATGCTCTCCCTATTGACCTACATGTATATGGGTGGACCAAAACGTCTTTAGAAGCATGTGAATAAAATGCATTAATCATGTCACAGTGTAGTGTTTTTATCCTTTGTAAAGCATCATCCATTAAGGGCCCTGTAACTTTTTAAAATAAAATATGCATGTTTTAAACATAATTTAAAATAAAATTACAAACTTAAAAAAAGATTTCCAGCATCTTAAGATATATCCAATAAAGCTATTTGCAGATTGTTTGAAATAAATATTGAAACAAAGTTTAATAATTTTACCAAGTACAAATGGTTAAAACACAATCTTGTTGATTTACCAAATTTGCTCAAAGTTAAAGGAAATATAGCATGAGGCGCATTACTATGCCTTATGCAAGAAAGTAAGCTTCCTTGATAGAATAAATTTCAAACAAAACAAATAAAACTAGAGGATGCTTTTGTAAAAAAGCGCATGTCTCCCCCACTGCTGAGAATAACTGTGAATGGAAACAGGAATGGAAATGGAGATAAGATAATGTAAATACCCGGTAGTCACTTCAATGAAGGCTGTCTATGGATGGTTTCTATTGTTAAGGTTGTATGAGAAGATGCTTCCTAAACTGTTTGTTTTTAACCAGGTATTCAATTTCTATAAGACCAATCATCCTATGAAGTTTGAGGGCTGTAGGTCAAAAGGAACTCTAGTTATCATCCGGAAAGAGAAATTGACCAACGGTCACTGTGACCTTGACCTTTGAACTACTGACCCCAAAAACAATAGGGATCATCTGCTCAATAAGACCAATCATCCTATGAAGTTTGAGGTCTGTAGGTCTAAAGGAACTCTAGTTATCATCCGGAAACGAGAAATTGACCAACGGTCACTGTGACCTTGACCTTTGACCTACTGACCCCAAAAACAATAGGGATCATCTGCTCTATAAGACCAATCATCCTATGAAGTTTGAGGGCTGTAGGTCAAAAGGAACTCTAGATATCATCCGGAAACGAGAAATTGACCAACGGTCACTGTGACCTTGACCTTTGAACTACTGACCCCAAAAACAATAGGGATCATCTGCTCTATAAGACCAATCATCCTATGAAGTTTGAGGGCTGTAGGTCAAAAGGAACTCTAGATATCATCCGGAAACGAGAAATTGACCAACGGTCACTGTGACCTTGACCTTTGAACTACTGACCCCAAAAACAATAGGGATCATCTGCTCAATAAGACCAATCATCCTATGAAGTTTGAGGTCTGTAGGTCTAAAGGAACTCTAGTTATCATCCGGAAACGAGAAATTGACCAACGGTCAGTGTGACCTTGACCTTTGACCTACTGACCCCAAAAACAATAGGGATCATCAGCTCTATAAGACCAATCATCCTATGAAGTTTGAGGGCTGTAGGTCAAAAGGAACTCTAGTTATCGTCCGGAAACGAAGAATGGACGGACGGACTGACGGACGGACAGGGCAAAAACATTATGTCTCCCCCCGAGGTGGGGGAGACATAATAAATATGTGACATGCTTAGTAGTCGGTATTAGTTTATAAATGAATAATACATGTACCTATTTTGTTATTGAGAATATACTCCTCTTTAAAGAAATCCTTGGCTAGTTGACCTCCAAGTTTTCCTGATTCTGTAACAGCTGAAATATAAAAGAACATGACATGATGTCACAATTCTGACTCATATGTTATAACAGTTATACAGAAAAGTTATTTATTGGATACCCATTTTAGTATTATAGAATTAAACCGTAAATATATACAAGAGCTGTCTGTAGGACAGCATGCTCGACTATTCTAAGTGCTTGATAGTAAAAGAGCCTTGATATTGTTAAATTTTTTAAGTTCACAAAAAGGCTAATTTTTTTTTTATAAATTCATCTTATAGGCCTTAGAGAGAGTCTAATTATACAGAATTGGCTTGACTATTCGGAAGGTAATGTCACAAGGGTTTTTTACTGAGTATAATAATACTAATTACCTATGAATACATAAATTTGACAAAAAGGTACAAAGGTTTGTTATTAAGATGTTTTATCAAGTAAATCACTGCTTTATTATTATGAATGCATAAAATTGTCCCAAAAAAGGCACAAACCCTTCAGTAGTTATTGAGATAACAGCTTACAAGCAAAACTGTACCATGAATTTCTAAGTTGAAAAAGGGGAGAAAAATCAGCCTTAATGCAAGATAGAATTATGGATCTTTGTCAGTGACCTACAATTATGACCCTAATTGCATATGTGAAGTTTTAAATAAATATCTTTAATAGTTATTGAGATATGTAAAACTTGCATGTAAACATTAACCAAGAAACTAAGTAGAAAAGGGGATATAAATCAGCCTTAATGCAAGATAGAGTTATGGAACTTGGTCAGTGACATACAATTATGACCCTCCAATTATGACCCTCAGTGCATGTGTAAAGTTTCAAGTAAATATCTTTGAAGACTGTTAACCTTTAACCAAAATTTCTAAGTTTCAAAGGGGCAAATAATTCTGCAAATATTGCAGACAGTTATGCAATTTTGCAAACTGATGTACATTGTTACCTTAAATAAGTATTTTATATTTCAATTGAATATCTCAAGCAATAATTGAGATATTTGACTTTACAAAAAAACTTTAACCAAAATTTCTAAGTTCCAAAGGGGCATAATTCTGTCAATATGGTAGGCAGAGTTATCCAACTTGTCAATCTGATGTACATTGTTACTATAAATAAGTATTGTAAGTTTCAATTGAATATCTCAAACAATAATTGAGATATTTGACTTTACAAAAAACTTTAACCAAAATTTCTAAGTTAAAAAGGGGCATAATTCTGTCAATATTGTAGGCAGAGTTATCCAACTTGTCAATCTGATGTACCTTGTTACTATAAATAAGTATTGTAAGTTTCAATTGAATATCTCAAGTAATAATTGAGATATTTGACTTTACAAAAAACTTTAACCAACGCCGACGCCGACGTGGACGCTGACGCCGACGCGACTACAATAGCTCTCATATTCTTCGAATAGTCGAGCTAAAAATGTGTTTTGACCGCAAAGAGGTATTAACTTACTTGGAAGCTAGCATTACATGGATTAACCCTGACCATACTAAATTTCTTAAATGGATTTGTCCAGCTTCCTTTTTATGAAATGCCCATTATCAATAATAGGGATATCAAGATGAAAACTTAAAATTAGTCAGCCAATAATTTTGAGCCTGGTAAGACTGTATAGATGTCTAGGGCTGGCCTGGCTCTATACTGGTGGCAAATGTAAGACACATTTGGTTACAGGAAAAGAAGGGTTAAAAATGAACCACATACCTACAATGTCACCACCAGCACAAAATGCCTTGTCACCAGTCCCTTTCATGATCACCATTGTCATGTGGGGATCATTCTCCCAGGTCTGAAAGCAAGATATTTATCATATTATATACAATTCTACCTTGAATTAATAGTTAGTTTCAGACCATGCTTTTTTCTATCAATAGTAAGGGCCGCTTTCATGAATTTAATCCTAAGGAAAAGTCTTCAAGGTTGGAAGTTTAAGCAAAATCTGCCATCTGGTTTAAGAGGAGTTGCGTTCACAAAATTTCTACATTATAAGTATCTAGTGAAAAATCAACAAAGGGCCATAATTCTGTTTAATTTGGTCGCAGCAAAAATTCCTTCCTTTACTACCATCTACACCTTAAGGTTGTTCATCCCTGGAAGTTTAAGCAAAATCTGCCATCCGATTTAAGAGGAGTTGCGTTCACAAAATTTCTACATAGTATATAGTGAAAAAATCAACAAAGGGCCATAATTTTGTTAAATTTGGTCGCAGCATAAATTCCTTCCTAAACTACCATCTACACATTAAGGTTGTTCATCCCTGTAAGTTTAAGCAAAATCTGCCATCCGGTTTAAGAGAAGTTGCGTTCACAAGATTTCGGGACGGACTGACGGACGGACAGACGGATGGACAAGTGCAACGCTATATGCTCCCACATTGTGGGGGCATAAAAATTCTGCATCCTATAATTCCTATTTTCACTTAACTGTTCTCAAAAGAGTTAATCTAACCATTCATTTAAACATTGTATCAGTATCCCAATCAATATAAAGTAAGTTAACAACATTGTTACTTAGACACTAACAGGTGCTCCTTTTGAGTTGGTTTTATCGTTATATTTTTCTTATTACAAATGTAGCATCAAACTATTAGATCTACTCAGTTTCTGCATGGTAAAGGTTAAAATATACAAAATAATTTTTGGACACTTACTGTCATCTGGGGCATTATTTTCTGGATCATATTCAGGTTTAGAGCATTAAGAGCTTTCGGTCTGTTCAGGGTTATAATTCCCTTTGTATCAATCTGTTGTATGAGAACTTCATCATCTACACTAGATGATGTTGTGTATGCAGCAGCCATTCTCTGAAATATTTTAATCATATGATTTTTCATGTACAATTACTGATAACTTAAATGTAAAAGTTTCTTACCTTATACTTTAAGCTACATGCAGTGTTTTAATTTTTTATCAGAGGCAAAAGTGGCCCCAAAGAAAATAACAGATTTTGTCAAGGGTGATATTTTGATATACAGGAAAAAAATACATCTGAATTAACAGCATTTTAACCAAAGATAAGGATTGCCAATCTGTTATTAATGAAAACCATGTACCTTACATGAGAGCTCAACCACTTTTAGTTGGAGACTCCCACTTTCTGCAGCCACATTTTCAAAGATTTTTCTTAACTTAAGGTGTATTTTTACAAATTAAAGAAATCTCCCCCTTTTTGATGTCAGAACTTCTTTGTTATTTGCAATTTCTAAAATCTCCCTCTTTTTGAAGAAAATTCTCCCACTTGATCATCAAAAAATGTTCACATGTATACTGTACATGTATGCCTTTGATTGACTTATGAAAGTAAACTTTTCATCGTTATTTGATTGATGAGAATACAAAAGGAATAACAAGAGCTGTCCGTAAGACAGCGCGCTCGACTTTTTTATTGCTTGCCAATAAAAAAAGTTTTTGCAGTAAAAGGCAATACAAGAATCTCTGTATTTTTAAAGTGAACTAGTTGTTTGATACCCTTGAATATTACAGCAATGTTTATATGACATAATTTATGGTAAAGTGAACAAGTGGATAGGAATGAATTTTTTTAGATTTTTTAAGTTTTTTAGTGCTTGCCTATAATACAAAACATTGACAGTTAAGGGCCATAATTCAAATAAAATCTTTGACAGAATTACCTTCTCCTGGACATGTTTTGGGAATCATGATTGTAAACAAGTATTCCAACTTTCAAATTAATATCTCAAACAGTTCAGTCAAAAAGTGGACTGGTACTAAAAACTTAACCAAGATTCTAAGTCGATAAAAGGCCTTAATTTTTTAAAACAAATCCTTGACAGAGTTACCTTCTCTTGCGTACAGATGGGGGTAATGATGTGAAATAGCATTAAAAGTTTCAAAGCAATATCTCAAAGGGTTAAGGCAATAAGTGGATTTTACCCATATTCAATGTATTTTCTAAGTCAAAAAGGGGCATAATTCTGTCAAAAACCTTGACAGAGTTATGTCCTCTTGTCTGTTGATGAAGGTCGTGATGGTAAACAAGTATGGTCAGTTTCAAAGCAATACCTCCAATGGTTTTGAAATAAAGTGAGGTGGTACAAAAAACTTAACCAAGCTCAATACACTTTCTAAGTCAAAAAAGGGCCATAATTCTGTCAAAAACCTTGACAGAGTTATGTACTCTTGTCTGTAGATGGAGGTTATGATGGTGAACAAGTATGGTAAGTTTCAAAGCCATACTTGTAATACTTCTGAAATAAAGTGGGGTGGTACGAAAAACTTAACCAAGGTGTGACGCCAACGCCGACGCCGACGCCGGGGCGAGTAGGATAGCTCCCCTTTTCATAGAAAAGTCGAGCTAAAAATCTCATACTGTAAAACAAGTATATTTATAATGCATATGAAAAATATTACCCTTGAATATTTTTTTTGATTTTTGAATGTTTTCATTCTTAAGAAAATCCCTACAAGATATTAACAATTTATATATCAAATATATATCAATGAAAACTATATATTATCCTTTATCTAATATGTGTTTATTAGTTTCCAATTCCTAACTGGCCTATTAAAGTATTTACAATGTCTTGTTCCCAATGTTTGAAGCATTTGTGGCCTTCCCAAAATATTGAATAATTAGCACTTGTACATATGATTATTCGGAAATTACAACAAAGTCTTTTCAGAAGTATGAATGTTTAACAGATTGGAATTAAAATCTGGAGATCACACCAAAGTTTGTTACATGTATGTAAAATGTTTTATACATGTAGATTGGAATCAAAAAGTGAAATTTATTTATTGTAGACAGAAACTCACCACATGTTTGAAAACTACGCCCAACCTTCTCAAGGGTCTAAACAACATTTCTTTATCAGTCTGCTTCACCAATGATTGCCCTGAAATAACAAAATAATACCTGAATCAGGATATCATATAGAATCTATTCCAAATTATTCCCAATATTGAATAATCTAAATATTTGCTGTCTGAGAAACAGAGACATGTTCCTGTAGCTTTAACTCTAAAAATCACTATGTGGCTGATGGGTTGCCTTTACTTGATTACAGGCATCAGAATTGCAGCCACTGTTTATCTCTGCATGATCCTAATAAGAGACAAGATTGGTTCGAATTACTGAAGTCTATACATCTCTTACCTCCAGCAGGCAGTGTCTATTCTAGGATTCGAAAAACGGGGGATTTTTATTGAAAAGTGAAAATTGATTACATTTGTTGATCTTTTTCCTTCTTTGTCTATGTAAAATTTTCCCCTTTCCTCTCAAAAAATAGGGGTGAATTCTCAAAAAAAAAGGGGTGAATCCCCCCCATCGCCCCTCCTAGAATAGACACTGGCAGGTGAGATGGTTTGAGCCCTGGTGTTACTTTTAAGTTTGTAACACCCAGTTTAGCCAAAATCATCTTTCCTGTTTTGGCACCATTAAACCAAACCAAACAAGACTGCATTTGAGAAAAATGCTATGCCACCGCATTAATACAACACTAAATAGTAGTGTAGGAACAGAATTTTTTGGTTTCTATACAATTTTGAAGATTGTCATAATGCATAGATGCCTGGCCTATCTGATTCCTATTATCAGATTTAATTCAAAACAATCTTGATACAGGTCCACCAAACAATTATAATTTGAACAATCTTGGTAAAGGTTCCATATAAGGAAAACCTATAGCCCCAAGGGCGTGGCTAATTTTGACACAAGACGCAAAATTTGAACAACTTTCGTAGAGTACCTATAGATGAAATCATTTAACAAATATTAAAGCTCTAAGCCTTGTACTTTCAGACAATAAGATTTTTGATTTTTTACTATATGTATATATTGAAAATCAATGACCCCCGAGGTGGGGGCAAATTTGACCCAAGAGCTATAATTTGACCAATCTTGCTAGAAGTTCACTTCACAATGTTTCATGCAAAATATCTAACCTCTAGCATTTGTCAGTTGCTAGAAGAAATTTTTTTAAGTTTTTACTATATACATATAAGGAAAACCAATGACCCCCGGGGCGGGGCCGATTTTGACCCCAGGGCTATAATTTTAACAATCTGGGTAGAAGTCTACCTGACAATGCCTTATGCAAAATATCTAAGCTCTAGGCCTTTTGGGTCTTTACAAGAAGGTATTTTAAGTTTTTACTATATGTACATATAGTGAAAATCAATGACCCCCAGGGCGGGGCTGATTTTGGCTCCAGGGCTATAATTTGAACAATCTGGTAAGGGTCTACCAGACAATGCCTTATGCATAATATCTAAGCTCTAGGCCTTTTGGGTCTTTACAAGAAGGTATTTTAAGTTTTTACTATATGTACATATAGTGAAAATCAATGACCCCGGGGCGGGGCCAATTTTGACCCCAAGGCTATAATTTGAACAATCTTGGTAGAGGTCTACCAGACAATGCCTTATGCAAAATATCTAAGCTCTAGGCCTTTTGGGTCTTTACAAGAAGATTTTTTAAATTTATTCTTATAATACCTTTTGGTTGCCATGGCAACCAGATTTCTGCATGGAATGAAATTCTTTGAACAACTTTGGAAGCCCTTCACCCAAGGATCAATCCTGCCAAGTTTGGTTGAAATTGGACTAGTGGTTTTTCACAAGAAGATTTTTTAAGTTCACTATATAATCTATATAACACACACACACACAAACAAACACACACACAGGTGAATCGCTATATGCCACCGCATCGCAGATGCTGCGGTGGCATAACAAAAACAAACAAATACATTTTGTTACTATAAAAAACAAAAACTACTTTCAGTGATCACATGTGTCACCTCATGATAGCCAATTGCATGCCTGCTACTGTGTTGCAGGAGTCACAAAGATTAACAAGGGCCATAACTCAGTCAATAATAATTCAACTGGAAAACCTTTGTAATATGTGCAGATACTTAAGTTAACAATCAATCCAGTAAAGCTTCAATAAACTAGCATTAGTGGAGCAGTGATTAATTTAGATGTGCGTCTTGCATAAAATATGCATAAAAATCTAAAAAGATGCACAGTTTCAAAATATGTGCATTCAATTTGATGCATGCAAATCTGGTAGTTTATAATCCAAAATATCACAATTAGTGATTGCTATGTACCATTTGTACTCCACTAGAGTAGTGTGAACAAATTTTGAAAATAAAAACCATTAAAGGGCCATAACTCATCAAACTGGAAAATATCAATGATATGCACAACTAGACTTGGTATTAATTATTCTTGTACAGTTTGGAGTTTCTAACAAGCAGTTCAGACAAGCTTCTGTGCAGCTGCAACAGAAAAAACACTTTTCTTTTTTGTTCAAGGGCCATAACTTCATTCAAGTGGAAAACCTGTGTAGTATGTGCAAGTAATTGAGCTATCCATCAATCCTGAAGGTTCACAAAAATTGCATAAGTGGTAATATACACTCGGCCACGGCCAGGGCAATCTTTTTTTAACACCTTTTATATTGCCTGCTGCACGGTAAATGGGCCAATTTTTCAAAAATACATGTAATGCAGGCTTTTTCAAAAAATATTTTGCATTTGCAATTACTTTTTTGTGTTTTTACAAAGGACTTACTATAAAGCAAATGTGCCCAAACGTTTTTTATTATAGCATTACCCAAAATATAGATACAGACATTTTTATACCCTAAAAATGCCCAATTTTACATCTTTTTTGGTGTTTTGAGAATTAACACCACTTTTATCTGTTCTAATTTATCTCTTAAATTTTTTTACATGCACATAGAAAATTTAGTTACCTTTCCGATGATATATTATACTTGGTATATATCATCCTAGTTTTTATCGTTAAGATGATATTAGTAAATTCAGACTTTCGTAATGCATCAGTTTTTCCAAAATATAGTTATTAATTAAACAAGTATACCTTTATGCAATTACAAATAAAATAGTACTTTATTGTCTTAATCTAATGAAATATGAATTAAAAACATATGTAAAGTGTTTTCAAAACAAATTTTGAAACAATTTTACCATAGTATGCATAATAGTGGTGAATAAAAATTTGTGATGAAAAAACTGTAACGTCCGTCCCCCTCTCATTAAATATCCAATTTTAAAACAATACTCATAAAAAACAATGTTTCTGGTGCCTATTGATAGTCTTACTATGAAAATGTTACAAAAATTGCCAATTTCTATGTTAATGGGAAAAAAAATACAATAATGTAAAAGTTGTCTGTTACATCCGTCCCCGTAACATCTGTCCCCCTATATATGGTACTTATTAAATCTCAAATAAACTGTAACTGAAAAGGGAATTTTACACTAAAACATCAAAGTTACAATGAAAAATGAAGAAATAACATAAATAAAGGACTGAAATGATGTATTTATATAAAAATTATTATTTGTGAACACCAAATTCCTTAATTTTGAAAAAAAATCATTATTTTTTGCTAAAAAACAAAAATTATTTACTTTGAAATAAAGTTTATATGTTATTTTTAAACATCAAATGGGCCTATAAGTTTATAAAACTAATAGTTTAGTTAAGCTTATATGAATTTATGACAAATATAATCTTTTGTTATACTGTGTTTTCAAACTAAGGGTACAGGAGGGGACGGATGTTACAGAAATTAACTATTAGAACTAATGATTCTTTTTACAGTAATACTCAAACTTATCTTGTTCTTATGATGCATGACAGAGAAGTGGTAAGTTTTGCAACTGTATAGGAATGTTTCACACAACAATAAAATAGTATTAAAAAAATAACTAGAAGAAACAAACACAAAATCCAAAATAGGATATACAGAAAAGGTGTAAACAGTAGAGATGTTGAAAGTATCTTTTTGATTAAAATTAGTCATTTGTTAAAACCTTTCTTCTTCTATTTGAATTTAATGAGGGTCCATCCGCCCGTGAGGGCACAAAATGCAGCTTGCGCTGTCGAGTACGGACCCCGGACATGTCACCAGTCATGTCCTTAAAGAGTTAATTTTGAAGCACAAAATGGTGATAATTTACCTCCATGCAATTTCCATGGAGTATTAGCCAAAGATATGAATTTTGAGCCAAAAGTAGGTCTCTGTACGGCGGTCAATGAGAACCTAAATGTACAGTAACCTGTGACAATAGGAAAAGTGTTTAGCCCTGAAAAGGGCTGTTGGTGTCAGCTATAGGCCTGCCTTACAAGCCGTCTATCTGTACTAGGGGCTCACGCACCCTAGCACACCATCCTCGTCGTCGCAGCCTACTTTGTAGGGCCCTCCCCTCGGCATTAGTCAGGACATCGGCAGCTGGTCAGCAGAAGTGACAAAGTAGTAGTTCCGTAGTTACCACCCACGGTTGAAGGCAAAATTAAAGTTGTCTACCAGCCAAGTTGTAAATCTTCTGCCGAAGCCCTGTGCCTTCTCAGCGACGTGCACGCTCCGAGGGGAAGTGATAAGTCATTTGTTAAAACGTAAATTCTTTAGCCTTAAATAGTTAACAAATCATCTATCCCAGCCCCTCATAAAACAGTGGGATATGGATCCTTAATCTATACACACAGAAGGGGCTGGCACTTTATTGGAAGTTAACGAGCTGTATATTGGGAGCTGTGTATTGTATATTGGGAAGTGTGATATATTACAAAACAGTAGGGGTGCCAATATAGGGTGATGTACATATGCTTAAAAACAGTGGGAGGGACTACCATATCTGTTAGAGAAGGCCTGTTATTAAAGTAAACTGTAGATCAATTAAGTCAAAGGATTTATTGAACTTCAAAATTTTACAGGCTAAAGATGTAGTCAATTAAAAAAAACAAATAAAGAAATACAATTCAATACCCTGATTAAATTTCTTTTTCTTCAAAATTCCAGCATATTTTCTTACAATTTGACCCATTTAGTTATCACTAATAAAGTGGAAGAAAATCTTAAGTAAAGGATATGGTTCGGATTCCTTTAATGAAAAAGTTGGGATAACTGTGAAAAATTGTCTGTATGAACCCTTCGCAAATTATTTTGAACCTATATACATTTTATTGAATGATAAATTAGTTCATAGTTAAGCAGTTCATGTACAATGAAATATTTACACAGAGAATTTAAAAGTTAGAAATAATGAGTTTATGATACTGAATCATAATGAAATCTTTGGATAATGCTGCTGACATTCCACAGTAATTTACTTAAAATTTCATCAAATTGATAGTACTTAATTACAACAATTTAATATCTTTTTAATGAAATTTTTAAATTGTTTATAATTTATGTATTTAGTAATGACAAATTCAAGCTTGCATATGTTTCAATCTGAAAACTTCTTATCTACTTCACACTGTATCATATCTTTTACAAAGATAAATCTTATTATAAAACAAAAGTATTTTGTAAAATTTACTAAATGATTTCATGTATAGAAAGGTACCGTTGGTATGACATTCTTTCTTTAACATAGTGTTAATGCATTATCTCAGGCAACAAGGATAATTTTATTTCATTAGCAATATTCTTATTTTATTCCAAACATTTCAATGTTCATTCAAATGTAAGATAACTGGAAGAAAACTAAGTCATTGCAGCTTTTCATTGTGAAACGCAAAAAGTAAGAAACTCCATAATTGTTGGGTATATTTCTACATTTTGCTCATAATTTGTTCAATTATTTTACATTTATTGTACTATATAAAGCATAATACTCTAAGAAATTTTATTACTTGAAAATAAAACCAAAGAAAGTATGAACTATAAGCTTTAAACATCTAGTGTAACATCCGTCCCCCCAAAAATGTAACATCCGTCCCCCTGATGCAATTCATTTCTGGATTATCTGACAAGAAATAAACATAAGAAAGTCCTATAATTTTTTACTGTTTTATAAGAAATGTGTTTGCAAATTTGATTTAAGTATGATTTGATGTACCTATCCTTGTTTTTTTACTTTGTTTCTAACATGTTTGAAAATTTAATTTTGCAGGGAAAAAAACTGACAATTTGATAGCAAATATTTTTATATCTAAGACGAATTTTCTGAAAAAAAATTGTGACACTTAATAGAATACATAATATTTTAATAAAATAAAGAGAAATAATACAATTTTAATTGTAAATTTTAAGATATTCAGACTTTGAGTATATCTTTGTAACATTCCATCCCCTACCCATACGGTTCACATAAGATGTAATATTTTGAAAAAAGTATTCAAAAACTTATCCTTTCTTTCCAAAAATTTTTTTGTTACAGACATTTCTTTTTTCCAAATTGTTTGTTTCTTATAAAAAAGTAAATTTATTTTTCTTTTTTATTGTTTTTTAACTTTTAATTTTTTTTTTTTGTACTTCTTTTTAATTTTTGCTTTTAAACTTTTTTTCATTTTTTTTTTTCTCCTTTTATTTTTTTTTTTTTTTATTTTTTTTTTTATCTGTGCAGCATTTTTTTGCAATTTTTATGTTTTGAATTTTTTTTTTTTGGCCAGTGTTATAAGTTTTTTTTTTTTTCCAATGAAAATTCATTCAAACTTTTTTTTTTTTGGTAAAAAGATTCATTGATTGTAAAAAAATTGTTGGACTATTTCAATCTGTCAACAAGACTTGTGAACTGTATTATTTTCCTTTTGTAAATGTTTTTTTTATTGAGATTTTGAATTTTTGTCACAAGTACATTTTTTTTTTATTTTTTAGAGGATGTAATTAGTTTGTTTTTTCTAGACAAGTTCTCAACTTTTTGTTTGGCAGACGATTTTTTTTTATTTTTGGAAAAGAGATCCCTAAATGTTGCTGCGACTCTGTATTAAGGCCACACAGAAATGTATAGTTTCCATGAAAATAATCTGCTGGCTGGGCTTTGCTCTCATCAGTTGTTAAATTGTTATCTTGTTTAATATGGCAATGTATAGTAGATTGAATTAACCAATAAAGTTTTCATCTTCATCACTACAGAGAAGAATCTGTATTTATGTGCTTTTTCACACAATTGCAAGCATTCATTTTTAAGTAATTTTCAATTCTAACCAAAAGATATATTTAGTATTTTACAAATGTAAAATTAGTATTGTATTATAAAGCTAAAAATTCCACATGACTTTCGAAAAATGCAGGGTCTTGGCCATGTGATCAATACTTGACTGAATGAAAATTACTCAATGTCATTTAAGATATTTCACCAATTCTTCACCAATAGATGTACGGTACTTAAAACCACAGTTTTAATATAGTATATAGTATACTATATTAATAGTATATATGGATGAAATTTTTTAAAAACAAATTTTCTTTGTTGATTTATTGAAAATAAGATATTTTAAAAATATTTTGAATAAAAAAATATTTTATTAGTGAAAAAAAAAAAATTTATAAAAAAGTAAGTGGGCGTGGTCATGTACATGTATACTATCCAAGCCACGCACCGATTGCCTGTGCATTTTCCAAAGTAATTGCTGGCATAGGTATATTAAAATCGTTTTTTAATTTAGTTAAATGTCCCATTAAAATGTGAAGGGGTCGTATCATCAGAAAAAACAAAATGGCCGAAAATGTCAAATTGAAAACTTGATTGCAAGTTACCAGATATGCGTGGAGAGAACGAGAATTCTTTTATGGTCCTGATTTTATATCAGATTTACACAAGACATTCTCAAAATATAAACATTTACACCCATTTTATTCAAAAGAAACTTTGATCAAAATTACATGACGTACATTTAGCCAGTTCCGATGGATTTGTCTGCAACTTTTTTCATGAGGTCCCATACGGGGACAACCTTTATTAAATTATTTTATCAATTTGATTTGATTACATGGGTCATGCTTACATATTTCTCCATGCAATATGAAGTATATACAATGCCAATCACAACTTGTAAGCATGATTTGGCTGATTTAATGGTGGTGTGACATGAAATAATTATGTTCATTATATTACATGATGATGAAAATACATCTAGTCATTGTATTATGTTGTTCTTCCAGTTATATTGTGAAATAATAATAAAAAAAACACTGAACATTGATCTAAGATAATTACATTTTATGTTGCTTGCCTGAATGCAGAAATGTTTAAACTTAAATATGTGTCTTTCTAACAGGAGTAATGGCCAGAATTAAGAAGACCAGTGACTTGGGATCTTGTAGGACACCTTGCAAATCAGCAAGAAAAAATGCTAATATTGCCAGTCCAGTCCAGAGTAAAGCAAACAAAATAACTTTAAAATACAAGAGAGGGTTTAGAAAATCCCCAGGTAAAATAGAAAGAGTAAAGTTTGCCATGAAAGAGGTTTTAAATGGGATGTCAGTTCTGAAAGCTGCCAAGAAAAACAACTTATCTGAAAGTTTTTTGAGGCGTAGGATTGCTGGGGATGTTTCATTAGAGAGTAGAAATGGCCCAAGGCCTGTTTTTAGTGCAAAAGAGGAAGAGGAAATGGCTAAGTGGTTGGCTGAGATGTCCAGAAGAGGGATGGGTTTAGGTGTGGCAGACTTTTTAGAATTTGTTTGTGGTATTTTAAAGAAAGACAAAAGGAAGAATAACTTTAAAAATGATCGCCCAAGTTATACATGGTATTACAGTTTTATGGCACGTAATGCTCATTTAGTAGAGATAAGAAAAGAGTCATCTTTGGAAAGTTCAAGGGCCAAAGTTACCTCTACAGAACTTGATAAGTGGTTCTCTAATTATTACAAGTTTGTATCTCAGCTTCATCTGTTGGACAAACCAAATAGAGTCTACAATGCAGATGAGTCAGGGTTTTCTATGGGGAGTAAGGCTGGATCTGTGATTGGGCCAACAAAGTCAGAATACCCTAGGAACTTGCCACATTTGAGTGGCAACAGTAAGAAGAGGTTGACTGCCATGTTCTGTGGTAATGCTGAGGGTGATATCATCCCACCATTTTTGGTATACCCTAGTCCTCAGCCTACAGCATATGATCCCTTGATTAACAGCAGGAAAGGTACAGTCATAGAGTATACTGACAAAGGATGGATGAATGCCAAGACATTTTTCAAGTTCCTCCAACATTTTGATAAGTATGCATGTCCAGACAGACCAGTAATTTTACTCATTGATAGTGTGAGCAGTCACATTGATTTGGATGTTTTTACCTTCGCCAGAGAGAAAGGGATAGAACTATATAGACTTGTACCAAATGCAACTCACTTCTTACAACCCTTAGATAATGGTGTATTTGGGCCATTGAAAAAATCATGGTACCAAATTGTTAGGAAAAATACAAAAGAAAACCCAGATAAGAGCATTGGGAAGGAAAATTTTGCAGCAAAACTTCAAGAGGCATTTTTAAATTTTTATAAACCACTTACTGTAGTTAATAGTTTTAAGTCAACAGGTATTTTTCCAATTGACCGATCAAAAATCTCTGAAAGTCACCTTAAGCCTGCAATGACTTTTCAGTCACTATCATCTGAGAAAGAGTATGCTCCGTTTGATTGTAATAACAATTCAGTAACTAGTCATGTGGTCAGTCCTATGTCTGCTGTTAGTGTAACACCAGTTACTTCTTTAGCCAACCCTGTGTCAGTTTTACCAGGTACCAGCTGTATTAATGTTACACCCCATTCTATGTCAGCAGAAAATATGTCCCTTTTGACAGTTACTACTACTAGTCATGCCACCCCTGAGTCAGCTTTACCAGGTACTAGTTTTGTTAATGTAACACCCAACTCTTTGTCAGGAGATATATCTGGTACTACTTTGTTAAATGCAACAGAACTGCAGTCTCCATTATCTCTGCTTGCTGATGTTGCTTTTAATTTGTCTAATACTATATCTTTACCTCACAGTGTGAGTACATGTAATGTAAATTCTGACAGTTCTGATTTAAGTACATGTAGTAATGTAAATTCTACCAGTTCTGATGTAAGTAGTAATGTAAATGCTGCCAGTTCTGGTGTAAGTACATGTATTACTAATACTAATACTACTCCTATAACACCACAGTGTGGTTCAGGAGTTCATGATACAGTTTCATCATCTGTTATGGAAGCACTAGTATTCCCATCATGTAGTAATGTAAAAAAAAGAATATCAACTTCTGACACTTTGCCCGATTGCTTAACTTCAGCAGAGAGTATTAGAACATCTGCTTTAAAACAACTAAATGCTACTAGACTATTTGCTAGAAAAGAACTGGCAGCTAAAAAAAGATACATGAAAGAAAAAGTTAAATCTCAGGTAAAAGACAAAAAGGTTGCTGAAGGTAAAAGTAAAGGTAAATCTGCTGCAGCTAAAAGTAAAGGTAAATCTACTGCAGCTAAAAGTAAAGGTAATTCTGCAGCTCTTTCTTATAGTAAGAAATCTTGTGTTAGTAGGGTTAAAGCAAAGAAGGCTTTATCCTTTACTGCAGGTTCTAAATCAGATCAATGTTTGGTTTGTAAAAAACTTACAGAGGATCCAGATGGTTGGGTCCAATGTGATATTTGTGACAGCTGGATACATGTATCATGCATACCTAAAGATCATGATTTTGACCATGCTGCTTTGACATTAGAAACTGTTGAATTTTTCTGCCATATTTGTGTTACATAATGAATGCAGGATTTTTGCATTTATAAAAGTCATGCCATAATTAGCACAACATAACTTCTGATTATCATGTATAACAGACACTTTGCTATAGTTTTAAAATTTATTAACATAAATAATATGTTATTGTAAAACTTTGTAGTTTGTCTCTATATATATATGCATTTACTTGCCATATACTGATAAGATTTAACAAATGAAACACATAGATTCACTAGAACAATAAAATTGAAAAGTTGCTCTTTTGTATTTCAAAATAAAAACATCATTTGTGAGCATTTCTTAATTGTTATTTATCAAATTGATGTTCATTGCCTCCTTCTCAGGCATAAGATTTAGGGCATCTGTTAATAACTCAAAATCTTTTTGTTCATTAGTATGAATTTTATAGTCACATGGTATGACTGCACCCCCTCCAGTTGCATCTGGTGCTGGCCATGGAGGGAAGCTTGGGCAAGGCTCTCCAGTGGCTGTGGCAGTGATTGTCCCATCTGATTCTAATATTTTTCGAAATGCACATGCAAGTCCTCTTGGAACATGGCCTATAGGCAAGCCTGCAACATCAGACAACCTCAGATACCGTTTGCTGTCAGTGACAATTTCTCTCATTTCAAGTGGAAAGTTATCCAAAGGTGGAATCCATACTAAGGCTGCATTTTTATCATGTACATTTGTATATTCCAGATCTACTTTTAGGTCATATTGCATTGGAGGCCTTATCTTAAAATGGTGGTATCCTTTTATGACGCTGTTTTCAATTTTAATATGAAACATGATGCAAAATATATGATCTTAATTACTTTATGTGGAGTGAGGCAGTATAACTGTGACACTAGAAGTTTCCCGTGAAGGGCCTCTTTACGTATTCTCACGGAAGAGTAAAAAAAACGATATCCGCCGTAACCGGTGAAAGTGCTTCGGAACTGGTGAAATTCGACCAATGAAAATAAGCTCGGCAGCGAAATAAGTTAAATAAACTTTTACTTAATATTTAGCGACTTTGAAATTAAGACTAATATCATACTAAATCAGCAATAATATTTTTCTTTATCTGGTCTATTTTGTAGTTTGACCGCATAATATAAAAAGTTCGTCGAAACTGGCGAACAAACTGTACAGTATACAGACTCGGCACAATATGGCCAGTTATGTGTTGACGTGCCATAAAAATCCACACAAAAGTATACAGACAGAACTAGAATCTAGTTCACTACACTAGTCTATTTCAGTCTAGATATAAATTTAAAATAGAAAACATTACCATATTTGCTGCATACATGAGATTCAGTACTCGACATTTCAACTAATCACATAAGAACCACAACAAAGTTTTGAACCAATAAGAAAAAAAGATCAGTCATTAATTTACATACAACAATGCACAATCAATTAAACAACTTGTTTAAGATGTAGGTAATCAACTGCTGACAATGTTCAGCAATTCAATTGTCAATGCAAGACCTACATGTATGCAGGTAATTAGGTCAATATCTCTACTAAAAGCCAGTGTCATGTCATAATCTAGAATATGTGATAAAAATAATCATTTAGGTATACCCGTAACAGATCACCGACAGTCTACTTTACCGTTATATACTAATAAAGCTCGTTATCTTCTGTCCAATTTTTCCAGGGCCAAGGGTAATGAACCGGAAGTAGATCTTCATGGAGAAAAACACATAAATCACAAATATCTACAAATGGCGGAAGCAGCAAAATTTTTCGAAGAGACTTCAGAACCTGCAAATTTCTTTGAAAAGAAGAGTCAGATCGAGAATTTTGTTGCTAAACACAATGAAGAGAGTACACCCGTCGTTCTTGTTACGGTAAACCCTTGTTTTTGCTTTTCGTCAGTGTCGTTTATACAAATAAGTTCCAGTCATTTCGGCCCCAAAACGTTTCGACCCAATATGGGCTATTCCAGAAAATATCCGCACTCCCCCTATGGAAAGCACTTTTTTGTCCAATGGGGTATTTTGAAGAAGGATTTTGTCCGAGGGGTATCCGTGGGGGGACGAGTGTATTTGAAATGGTTTGTCCAGGGGGTGTGTGTCTCTTATATCCTCAAGGTACTTTATACCGGGAGGTACTTTGTACCGGGAATGTCCAGATATTACAAACAATACTTACATAAAAAATTTCTTTTGTATGCAAGTGTTTTTCACATTAATTTCATACAAAATATCCCTGTTTCTCGTATTCTCGGGGTTTCTCGTATTCTCGTGGAATCATTAAAACGGATGGAAGCGACGCTCGCGACTTCCGTCGATATCCGAAAACATGTCTATTTAGCAGAGCAATTCATCTCCATTAAAAAATAAAAGAAATGCGGCAAAAACAGATAAAAAAACCAAAAAAAACGGTGGAAATAATCGTAAAATCGGGAAATTTAATTAATTTTTTCAATTTCCCCCCAAAAATCATCAGTTTTCTAGTTTTTTCCATGTTGCAGAAACCTGTAGCAGGTCTCTGACGCAAGACGCTTCAAATGACGATCTCACACTACTATTTATACAATACAGCTCAAAATATTTGTTCCACGAATAGATGATATAAAAAAGATATGAACTCCAATTAAAAACAAATAATGAAACATTGTTTGTCCTAAACACATTTCATTTTTGACAACTGCAACGGAAAACAGTAGTATTCATTGTTAAATGCTCATATAACTGATGAGTAACTAATAAATAAACGTAAACTTAATGTATATTAGAGAGATTATGTAAATAACAACACTAAATGGAGTTCAAACTATTTTTGGAACAATCAAAATCATTTGGTACCAAAGAGGCGTCAATATGATCCTTAAAGTTTGATATGGCCTGCCAAGCTGTTATTAAAACACAATAAAATTACAGATTTAGGCCATTTAACACTTAATTAGGTGTGGCACTAATGATTTGAACTGGTATGTAGAATAAAATCATCACATAGCGACCAGCCTTAACAACCAATCAAATTCCACGAGAATACGAGAAAGCACCTGCTTCACATTGAGGGTGAAGGTCAGTATATACAAGCAGAAATATCTTTAGTCTTGCTTACAGTTACGATCTTTCTTTCATTGTATTTTGTTAATAAGGTATTTCTCTGTGTATCAGGCTAAAAATACTTTAACAGAATGTTTTATAAATATTATGCAACCAAGTTTAGTCCTTAACCCCCCGAGAATACGAGAAAACAAGATATAGCATTTTTTGAAGAAAATTCAAAGTTTTAATAACCCTATTCACATAAATGTGTTTTATGTATAAAAACCAGTAATATTGCTAACAATTTGGACCCATCATGATATTTTGAATGCGTGTGCAAATGCTTATCAAATTATTACCCTTTTACTGTGTGATAACTGATAAATATTGAATAGAACTTCAGTATCATTAACAGTAATGGACCATTTACATATGTTTTTAACTTTTTATTGATTGCTTAAAAGTCATTCCTGGTATTAAGTACTTAAAAACAAAAATGGCTGCCACTCATATGAGGTTATTAACAGAACTATCTTTTTGATGTATAGTTAAAATTTCTTTTGGATGATTGTTATTTTCATCAAAAAATGGTACCTCCTACAGAAAATAACTATTTTATATTAGATTTTTTTTGTATTATATGATGGTGGGCCTAATAAGGCTTACACTCCCGGTAGATAGTACAACCAGGATAGTAAAAAAATGGTGTCGACGGGGGGGTGTTTCTCAGCAAAAAATGCCTTCCATACAGTGGGTATCTGTCCAGCGAGGTTTTGAGACTGAAAACGTTTCGACCCATAAAATACTGAACATGTTTCACTCAAAACATTTCTGTATTTTACAAAGCTGACCAATTTTTTAATTAGTTAAAGGATGAACAAACATGTTTTTACCAAAATTATTGTAAGAAGTCTCAGTAAGTAAAGAATTTATCATAAGTTTTTGAGTAAATAGTAGAGGTGCAACGATACCTTTCCATGCATCGAAAACCGGTTTTATGATCGCCAATTCGATTCCCGATACCAACAGTAACATTTGAGATTCGATTCCCCACCCAAAAATAAACATGGAAAAAAGTGAGAATTTTAGTCTTTCCCTTCACGCTTTATCACATTACATAGGATTGGCCAGTTAAAACTCGGTCATCCAATCAGTGGGCGCGTAATGTTTTATTTTCGGCAAACAAGTCAAAATTCTACCAACATCAATGTTGATAAAATAAAATTAAAAAATCCTCCTAAAAAATTAAAATCAAAGGTTTGGGAACACTTTGGGTTTCGGGAAGGCCAGGACACGGATAAAGCTACTTGCAAAATATGCTTTACGGACGTGTCATATCCAAAGTCCGTCAGTACGCAGCGTTTTTTTTCTCTACTTTGGGAATGGTGCCGGTACCAGACTCATTGGGAAAAATGCGTTATTTTTACTAAAATTGGGATTTTTTTAATGCATTTTTTCAGCTACAAATGAGATTAGACATCATGAATAAAGATAGCTAACAGCTTCTACTGTCTAGATAGAACTATTGAGTGGTGATTTATATGAATATGTTGGATTTAAATGATTTTAGAAAAATCACTTTGCCTTGTGGGCATTTTGAACAGTCATTTTGGGAATTTTCCATTGGAAATTGGGAATTTTAATGTCTATTTTCTATTGGGAATGGTACCGTTTTAGGGTAGTAGTTATATAAAGAAAACAAACACTGGTACGTCTAATTTAATGCAATATATGAAATGAAAACACGATGTGGACTTGTTTTGGTCAGCTTTATCCGTGTCCTGGCCTTCCTGAAATGAGTTTGATTAGTACTACAGTAAGTAGGCATATTTGACATTGGGATTGATTATTATTTCTTTAGTCAAGTGTGAAAAAAGTGATAATTTCATGAATTTCATTTTTTCTGTATTGTTTACTAGATTTAGAAGTATTGTGTGACAACACTAACATTAGGATTGATTATTCATTTTACATATTATGGGAATTATAAACAGAATATCTGAATATTAGTTCTGACAACCTTGTGAAACTTTGTTCATTATTATTTAATTTACAATTTACATACTTTGTTAAATTCCTAGTCAGTAGAAGGTATCTGTGATAGTCATGTAACTGAGATGGATGATTATTTGCCTGATTAAAATTATTTCTAAATAGACAAGAGCTTTTTATTCTCATAAACACAATTATTAAGTCACTTAAGTTTATAGAATAGTAATATTACAACGGAAAAGCAAAGCACTAGGTTGAAGGCCACTCACTTTTTGAGCAGACAAGCAGAATTATATACCAAAGATAAAGAAGTAATCAGAAAATTGTATCAAATCGAAAAAAATCGAATCAGATTATAGTAGAGCCCACTGAATCGAACATTTGGTGTATCGTTGCAGCCCTAGTAAATAGGGGTGAATTTCCCCCCTCATAGGTGACAACAATGTTGCTTTATGAATATCAATCAAGGACCAGTTGTTTTTTTTTTCCAAAAAAAAAACAAAACAAGGTAGCTGGCTACATAACATTTTGCCTCATTTAAATAGGCTAATGAAAATGCCCGATTGTGCTTAAGAAATAGAATATCATATTTCTAGAAAAATAATAAATATGTTTCTTTCTCACTTGTTTTGTTTACTAAGCATTGATATATGATTGAAATCAAAATAAAATATTTTGGTTATCTTTATTTTGTAGAATTATTTCCCTTTTTTCTCATTTTCTAGAAACATAGTATTTGAAGTTCATAAAAATTATATAGTAATGTGAAATTCTAATTAGAAATGTGTCAAACAACTACATTTTCTTTAAATACTATGAGCAGGTATCAGGGTTTTGTAAACCCCCAATTCCAATTCTGGTTATATAGCATTTATTTTTGTTAGACTGTGCAGGAAGCTGATAGACATACTTTTGAATCTGTTCCAGTGACCAACCAGCACTGAGTAATGAGTGTAAAGTTTTTTGCTGAAGGAAACAGTGACTTACCCCTGATGGGGTTTGAACCCATGTCGCTTGAGATCATTAGGTTGTTAGTCTGATGCATTAACCACTTGGCCATGCCACCAAGTTTGGTATAGAACTGTCTTTGCCCTTTTAAGTACATATAGTGTAATGTTTCGAAGCATAGAAATTAGTACACTTGCTACTACTTGTCTCTGTATTTATTTGTTTGAATATTTTTCAGTCAGGTGGCACAACTGTACCATTAGAAGGGAATACAGTAAGATATATAGACAACTTCAGCATTGGAACAAGAGGGTCTGCCTCAGCAGAGTATCCTTTTAAAGTTTATCATAACACATTCTCATTATCTTATTCTTGTACAGTCTATGCTACCCAGTGATTTTACACCTTATATAAATGAGGCCTATAAAAGGCTTCTTCCCAATTAAAATTTCTTTAAAATCATACAGTTTCCCAAAAATCTGAACTTACACCAGCTTTTTTTGCTTCCGAAATTGAAAGTTTTAGTGATTTTTCATTATTTCACATCACAGATTGCTGACCAACAAAAGGAGATGTGTTGCATAGGTATTTTACATGAAGCTATACTTTTGTGGTTTGTTGTCACTAGAGGCAAGATCATTAAAAATAAAAGTATAATTACTGGTATTTGATAACTAAGATGTGTGTGCACTTGTGCAAGCTTAATGATAGAATTTACAGTTTCACTCAGGCATATCATGGCCCTCTTCTTTAAATACTTTCCTTAACATTAATTATACTTCAGACCCTTTAGATAACATAATAGTATGTTCTTGATAAAAAGTTAACAATTATTAATGATTTTGTATGTATGTGCCATCGCTTTTCGATAAAGACAATAATATCATATGTAACTTTAATTTCCATAACAATAAATATACAGATATTTTCTGGAGCATGGTTATGCTGTTTTATTCCTTCATCGTCAGCGTTCCCTGCAACCTTTTACTCGACACCTTCCACAATCACATCTTCTTGACATTCTGGAGGTCAAAGGTGACAATGAGGGGCCAACACTTTGTGGTATTAAGATTTATTTTAAGACTTGTTTATGTGTTTTCAAACCATTGACATGCTCGAACCGAGAGTGATTAACCTTTGCTACCATTATGGAGCCATGGCAGCCAAGCATATCAGTGCAATCATTCCAGACTGTTGGCTGACAAACTTCAAATTTTCATATTGATAGCCTTCAAGTTAATAATGTACAGTTCCAAAATCATCGTTGCTACCAGCAGAATAGATTCAGTGCTTATCACATAAAACCACATCACAGGAGTGTTATAAGCCCATTTGATAATAAAGATTTTGCATAAGTGTAATAACACTGAGGTGATGTAAAAATGTGTTACATACAAAGATAGCCTTAAAGGCGCTAATGTTAACAATAAAGATCCTGCAACTCTGATTTGATCTATAAAAAGATGTTTTATCTATTTACTCAGTAATATTCATATTTGAATAATATATAAAAAGATGTTCATAATAGGAATACAAATGTGGATTTTTTCATGTAATACAAATGCAGATATTTTAATAATGAGTGATACACCATTATCATTTCTATTGATGACAGCTCTAATATAGATTTATGTTTTCTAGTCAAACAAGAGAGCACATCAAAGTTGCTGAACATAATTCAGAAATACCATGCAGTTCAACAAGAAGGGAGACTACTCATGATAGAGTTTACAACTCTGGTGGATTATCTGCACTTGCTGAGAGCTTCTTCTCTAATACTGTCAACTCTAGGGAAGAAAGCTTCATTGTACTTAGCAGCAGCAGTGTCTGACTTTTACATTCCAAAAAATAAAATGGTGAGTCAAAATATAAATAAAACTAATTGTCACTCTTCGAACACAATTTTAAAAATATATGCAAAAGATCAAGTGATTGAAAAAATCATAAACTTTAATGTTTTTACCATATTGGTACTGGTGCTTATGAAAATGATATTATATTGTACTGTTATATTTTAAAATTACATGAATATTAAATATTTATTGCTTTTTTTTCAAATCTTAGCCACAGCATAAGATACAGTCATCGAATGGTCCCCTGCAACTTTCTTTGGAGCTGGTTCCCAAAATGCTTGAAGCTCTCGTGAAAAACTGGGTCTCATCAGCATTTGTTGTATCATTTAAGGTAACTTTTATAATTCAAGGTATTCACAGTTTTCAAAATCACCGAAAATCAACTTTTTAAAGGAACTCCACTGAAGTTCAAAGCTCTAAAACATAAAATCTGAAAGTCTTGCAAAGGTCGAGTAGAGAACTTAATCCAAAAAAAAAATCTGCAAACAATTTAAAGAAATACACTCGAAATTAAATTGAAAATTAATTTTTTTGTGCGATTCTTAGCCTGATTTGATTAAAAAGAATGAACAATAAAAGTTATAATTTTGTAAAAGCAGGATGAGAGAATGATCGTAAGATTTGCACACCATTGCCTGATCCAGATCTACATCAAATGGTACACAAATCTTAGACAAATATTTCCAGTCAAGTCATGTCGAAGAAATATCAGTGTAGTTCCTTTAATGAATTACCAGTACATGTAAAATTAAAAGTTAATTTACCCCATTCATGATTTATCACTTAAGCATTTCATCTTAAAGTTCTCAAATTCTTACCCTCTTCACATAATTACGCTGTTACACAGACAGGGCAGTAGAGTGCATTATTCTACCATATATGGGCAGCATCATAAGGAATGCTTAAGTGTCCTTTGATATAAAGAGTAACCGTATTATCATTTAATCTAAATGAATGAATAAATCAACATTTCAGTTAGAGACGGACCCAAACTTGCTGACTGTCAAAGCCCAACAATCGCTGGAAAAGTACGAGCATCAACTAGTCATAGGAAACATACTTGATACCAGAAAATACGAGGTTGTGTTTGTGACCAATAGTGACATAGACTGGATAAAGTTGGACGATAAAGATATACAGAACGGTGTTGAGATAGAAAGTAAAATTGTGAAAAATATAGTTGAAAGGCATAGACAGTTTTGTTGCGAATGATTCTTTACAATATATTTGGTTTTTTAGCTCATCTGTCACAAAGTGAGCTTTTGTGATCTCTTTTCGTCCGGCCGTCCGTAAACTTTTACTTAAAATGACATCTCCTCATAAAAAAAAAAAAACAAAAAAAAACACTAAGCTAATTTCATTCAAACTTCACAGGAATGTTCCTTTGGTGGTCACCTTTAAAAGCTGTTCAAAGAATTTAATTCCATGCAGAACTCTTTCGCAAAACTTAAAAATCTTCTTTGAAATAATCCAAATAACTAGAGTTTAGATTCTTTTAAAAAACCCTGAGAGCTAGACCTTAGATATTTGGCATGAAGCACCATCTAGTAAGTGTCTACAAAGTTTGTTAAAAAAAAGCCCTGGGGTCAAAACTGGCCCCGCCCCTTGGGTGTCAATGTTTTTAACTATATTTGTACAGCTGGTCATTGCTTTACAATATACATTGTATGTGTGTAGTAAAACCTAAACATCATGAAACATCTTCTAATGGGTGTCTTCCAAGTTTGTTCAAAAATAAAAGCCCGGGGTTTAAACTGGGCCTGCTCCAGGGGGCCTATATACAGGTGAGCGACCTGAGGGCCATCATGGCTCTCTTGTTATTATTTAAATTGTAACAATTATTTGAAAAAAGAAATACTGATGATATATTATAGATTTTAAAATATATATTATAGATTTTAACATTTTATCTATTAATTGTATTTATACAAATGTAGATAGTAGATAGAAAGCGGGACTTGGTGTGTATATTCATACATATATATTATATGGATAATTGCAAGGGATGGGAATGAAAAAGCTAAAAATAAGTATTGGTATGATATGTTATACTTTATATCCGTACGTTTGGTTGATTGGGCCATGATAATGTTTATACTAAAGAGACAATATACAGTATATTATATTGAAAATAAGTGACCTCATATGAGCCACGTCACGACAAAACCAACATAATGGGTTTGCGTCCAGCATGGATCCAGACCAGCCTGCTCATCCGCGTAGTCTGATCAGGATCCATTCTGTTCTTTATCAGTTTCTCTACTTGTAATATGGTCTGTATGCGAACAACATGGATCCTGATCAGACTACGCAGATGTGCAGGCTGGTCTGGATCAATGCTGGTTGGAAACCCATTTTGTTGTCATGATGCGGCTCATTAATGATAATTAGTTTATATCACACAAGTATTTAAGTAAGAAAAATAGTTTTTAATTTTTCTGGATATATAGAGAACTCAAGGTATTAATGAAATCCTCTGTCCATCCATGGTAAGAACTTAGTACTATGTTTTTCCTTTTGTATTTGAAGGCTCATTATGTCACAGAAATGAATAATTTTTTCTCTCTTTAGAATTAGCAAACATGAGTTTTATCATGATGAAATAATGGTTTTAGAGCATGTAAAATGCTTATAACATGAAAAAAATAGCGTCAAATGTGAAATTATTTGTCATAAATAGTTGCAAATTGAAAACAAAGTACTATTTTGACTTAAGTAGTATTTTGACTTCTAAACAGAATACTAAATTACCATAACTGCCTTTATAACCAAAAGGCGTCAGAAGCAATAGATGGTGAGGCTTATTGGCCAATGATTAAACTTTTTTGAAACTATTACAGCACACAAAAAATAAATAAGCTTTGAGAAATAAAGAATAAAATCATTTCTGGGTGATAATGGGCCTTTAAATGACACTTTTACATGTTTTTGTTTTATGACACATCTGTATGTGTCTCCTATATCAGTTATCCAAGATATATGCATAATATATTTATATTAATTTTTAAACAAGATGTTTCACTGTTTATGTATAAAATTCTCAATATTTTCTCATGTAATTTTTTATCTGACATGTGTTATGTGTATTTTATATAACCTGTTGTTACAGAATTTTGTTGTTTTCATACTTCAACATATCATTACTTTTAAGGATGTAAAGCTATATTTAATGAAATACTTTTATTAGATTCATAAACTTTAAAATTAGGTTGTTTCCATTATGTTTTATATTCCCTTTGAAGCTTGTCAGAGTGAGGTATTGAGCAACACAATGGTTGTTGATCAGGTGAGGGATGAGTTGTCTCAGCTGAGCTGTTACACCATTTCTTGCTCCAACCATTACACTTGATCCATCAGTTCCAAAGGCACACATCTTGGTGAGTGGAAGTTGTAGTTCTTGAAGATGTATTGTCAAGCTGCTGGTAATGGTTTCTGCCTTGCCATTGGGAAATGGTAGGATTGAAAGGAATCTCACCTGACTCAGGCCGACCTTCAGGAATCTTTTATAAATAATGATTTTATCTAACATATCACAATTCTAAATTTGAATTAATGGATCTTAAACAAGTTCTAAAAAATAAAAAAGTAAATGCTAAATAAAATTAATATCTTCCATTTTATCATTTGTAAAAGCACTGAAGTAGGGGTGTACTTGGCTGAGTGGTTTTGTTGATTTCAAACCACTAACCCCTCACCTACTTGGTAGAGTTTTAACTGTTATGCATGTGCCATTCAACCCTAAAGAAATATACAAACATGATTTTTTCTTAAAGATATTTTGAAATATTCCTTCTATATGCCTATTTTTAAAAATGTGACATAATTATGGGATCAGTTTTGCTGTGTCCAAGGTCAGAAGAAGTCTGCTGGATAAGCTCAGTAGGGGACATCAATTTATATTGTAATCCAGAAGAAATTGGTAATTACTGGTTACATATCCAAGAAGGCCGGTTATGTACACTAACTTTCAGAGATATGACCAAAAATTTGTTGAGAAATTAGTGTAGAAAAACAGACAAACAGTCAAAATGAAAGATTAAGTACATGTATTAGTGGATTGTAGTCATTATGAATTGAGGGATGTTAATGTTTATGTAGACAGGGCTTTTTTATAGCTGAATATTTGGTCATATTCCCAATTGAAAATAGTATATTATTTTCTCAATCCACTGGAAAAAATTCCCAATTCAAAGTTACAAAATATAAAAAAAAAAATAAATAACTAAAATCTTTGAAAATAAAGAGGCTGCTTTACTGTAATAGTGCTTAAATGTTTGAAAATGCCATTCTAGACAGTGATTGTTTGGATTCATTTAATTACTTCAAATTTTCAGTCATGCATTTTTCCCCCAATTTTTGACAAAACACCTTCGAAATTCCCAATTCCATAGGTGACAAACATGAGACTGAGACTTTGTGATGGGTGTGTTTTGTGACAATGACATGAGACTGATGGAAATTGAAACAGTAAGATTTATTTTATCTACATGTAACAGATGTATAGCTTTATGCACTTAAAAGTAACACCTGAGATGATGTTTTTTCTGTATCATAACAAAATGTTTGTTATGATAATTATAATATTGCTACAGTCAATTTGAGATTTGTTAAATTATTTCTGATTTGGAAACAAATGTGTATTAGGTTAAGCAAACATGATTAAAAAAACTTTATGCATATATAAGGAGAATGAAAGTTTAATCCTTTACCCTGCTGAATCTTGTCCTACACTGGTCACATGATTGGTTAATCTTCCCCTACGGAATCTTGGTCTGCAATGGTGACATATTTATGATTAATCCTTATTCTACTGAATTTTGGTCTTCACTGGCCGATATTAATGTTTAATCCTTACACCTGCTGAATATTGGGCTGCTTTGGTCGCATATTAATGATAAATTCTTACCCTTGCTGAATTTTGGTTTGCATGGGTCACATATTAATGTTTTATCCTTACCCTGCTGAATCTTGGTCTGCACTGGTCGCATATAAATGTTTTATCCTTAACACTGCTGAATTGTGGTCTGCCCTGAACTCATATTAATGATTAATCCTTACCCTTGCTGAATTTTGGTCTGCACTGGTCGCATATGAATGTTTTATCCTTACCCTTGCTGAATCTTTGTCTGTACTGGTCACATATTAATATTTAATCCTTGCCCCTGCTGAATTTTGGTCTGCACTGTCACATATTAATGTTTAATCCTTACCACTGCTGAATCTTGGTCTGCATTGGTCACATATTAATGTTTAATCCTTGCCCCTGCTGAATCTTGGTTTGCACTGGTCACATGTTTATGGTGAATCTTTACCCCTGCTGAAACTTGGTCTGCATTGGTCACATATTAATGTTTAATCCTTGCCCCTGCTGAATCTTGGTCTGCATTGGTCACATATTAATGTTTAATCCTTGCCCCTGCTGAATCTTGGTCTGCATTGGTCACATATTAATGTTTAATCCTTGCCCCTGCTGAATCTTGGTCTGCACCGGTCACATATTAATGTTTAATCCTTGCCCCTGCTGAATCTTGGTCTGCATTGGTCACATATTAATGTTTAATCCTTGCCCCTGCTGAATCTTGGTCTGCATTGGTCACATATTAATGTTTAATCCTTGCCCCTGCTGAATCTTGGTCTGCATTGGTCACATATTAATGTTTAATCCTTGCCCCTGCTGAATCTTGGTCTGCACCGGTCACATATTAATGTTTAATCCTTGCCCCTGCTGAATCTTGGTCTGCATTGGTCACATATTAATGTTTAATCCTTGCCCCTGCTGAATCTTGTCTGCACTGGTAACATATTAATGTTTAATCCTTACCACTGCTGAATCTTGGTCTGCATTGGTCACATATTAATGTTTAATTCTTGCCCCTGCTGAATCTTGGTCTGCATTGGTCACATATTAATGTTTAATCCTTACCACTGCTGAATCTTGGTCTGCATTGGTCACATATTAATGTTTAATCCTTGCCCCTGCTGAATCTTGTCTGCACTGGTCACATATTAATGTTTAATCCTTACCACTGCTGAATCTTGGTCTGCATTGGTCATATATTAATGTTTAATCCTTGCCCCTGCTGAATCTTGGTCTGCATTGGTCACATATTAATGTTTAATCCTTACCACTGCTGAATCTTGTCTGCACTGGTCACATATTAATGTTTAATCCTTACCACTGCTGAATCTTGGTCTGCATTGGTCATATATTAATGTTTAATCCTTGCCCCTGCTGAATCTTGTCTGCACTGGTCACATATTAATGTTTAATCCTTGCCCCTGCTGAATCTTGTCTGCATTGGTCACATATTAATGTTTAATCCTTACCACTGCTGAATCTTGTCTGCACTGGTCACATATTAATGTTTAATCCTTGCCCCTGCTGAATCTTGGTCTGCATTGGTCACATATTAATGTTTAATCCTTGCCCCTGCTGAATCTTGGTCTGCACTGTCACATGTTTATGGTGAATCTTTAACCCAGCTGAATCTTGGTCTGCACTGGTTGTATCCTATGTTGAATTCTTACTTCAAATTTGATATCATTGATTTTTATAACACCAAAAAATGGAGTAGCTCCTAGTAAAGGGACATGTTAGTCTGCTCAATGTGAGTGCTGGCCTAGCTGGTTCTATACTTGAGGACGTGGTCCATTATCTTAGTTACTAGAGTTTTAATGGTTAAATACATACATGTATTACAAATATAGAAAAATATACAGATTTTTGTAGAAGTATATTTAAACCTGGGCTTTATTAATTTATATTATGTGTATTATCTATTTACAATGTTAATTCTTACAAAATGAAAGAAAACCCCGTTGGGTTTATTATGATCCCAATCCCTGGCATTAGTTTAAACCCCTTTTGGTTTAAATTTTGTAAATTTTAATAATAAAAAAAACTTTTTAAATTTTCACTTGGATTTCCTGTTTCAGCCCCCTTTTTGATAAAAAAAAGTTAAAATTAAAATAAAGAAACTAAAAAAGGTTTATTTTAATGTTAAATTTTACTTCTATTATATAATTTGTTAGATTATCTTTTGTTTTGAAAATAAATCTTGTTTTATACATCTTAACCAATTGCTGTCATAAATATAAACAAAATTTCATAATTATGTTTTTCTTTTTAAATTTGGAACCCCCAAGCTATTTTACTGCTGTACCACTAGAATATCTGATACTAGTTTGGATGTCGGGTCCACTTGTTCCTTGGTCAGGCAACCCCTAGGCAACACATGACCAGTGTGATCACATTTTCCTTTGTTTTAAGCTCACCTTCGCACAGAGTTCAGAAGTGATAACTGTGGGTCCGCTTTTTAGCTCACCTGTCACAAAGTGACAGGGTGAGCTTTTGTGATTGCTTTTCGTCCGGCGTCCGTCCGTCGTCCGTCCGTAAACTTTTGCTTTAAATGACATCTCCTCATAAACCACTGAGCCAATTTCATCCAAACTTCACAGGAATGTTCCTTTGGTGGTCACCTTTAAAAATTGTTCAAAGAATTTAATTCCATGCAGAACTCTGGTTGCCATGGCAACCAAAAGAAAAATCTTTAAATATCTTCTTTTAAAAAACCATAAGAGCTAGAGCTTAGATATTTGGCATGAAACATCTTCTAAAGAGTGTCTACCAAGTTTATTCAAATTAAAGCCCTGGGGTCAAAATTGGCCCCGCCCAGGGGGGGTCATTGATTTTCCCTATATGCATATAGTAAAAACTTAAAAAATCTTCTTTTAAAGAACTGTAAGAGCTAGAGCTTAGATATTTGGCATGAACATCTTCTAGTGAATGTCTACCAAGTTTGTTCAAATAAAAGCCCTGGGGTCAAAATTGGCCCCACCCCAGGGGTCATTGATTTTCCCTATATGCATATAGTAAAAACTTAAAAAATCTTCTTTTAAAGAACCCAAAGAGCTAGAGCTAAGATATTTAGCATGAAACATCTTCTAATGAGTGTCTACCAAGTTTATTCAAATAAAAGCCCTGAGGTCAAAATTGGCCCTGCCCCAGGGGGTCATAGATATTCCCTATATGCATATAGTAAAAACTTAAAAATCTTCTTTTAAAGAACCCAAAGAGCTAGAGCTAAGATATTTGGCATGAAACATCTTCTAGTGAGTGTCTACCAAGTTTGTTCAAATAAAAGCCCTGGGGTCAAAATTGGCCCCGCCCTGGGGGGTCATTGATTTTCCCTATATGCATATAGTAAAAACTTAAAAAATCTTCTTTTAAAGAACCGTAAGAGCTAGAGCTTAGATATTTAGCATGAAACATCTTCTTGTGAATGTCTACCAAGTTTGTTCAAATAAAAGCCCTGGGGTCAAAATTGGCCCCGCCCCAGGGGGTCATTGATTTTCCCTATATGCATATAGTAAAAACTTAAAAAATCTTCTTTTAAAGAACCCAAAGAGCTAGAGCTAAGATATGTAGCATGAAACATGTTCTAATGGGTTTCTACCAAGTATGTTCAAATAAAAGCCCTGGGGTCAAAACTGGCCCCGCCCCGGGGGTCATTGATTTTCCTTATATGTGTATAGCAAAAACTTAAAAATCTTCTTTGAAAAACCCAAATAGCTTTAGTTAAGATATTAAGCATGAAACATCTATAAGTAAATATCTACAAATTAAAGCCCGGGGGTCAAAACTGGCCCTGCCTCAGGGGTGTCATTGTTTTTAACTATATGTGTATAGTAAAAACTTAAAAAATCTTCTTTTAAAAAACCCAATGAGCTAGAACTTAGATGTTTAGCATGAAACATCTTCTTATGGGTGTCTACCAAGTTTGTTCAAATAAACAAATAAAAGCCCTTGGGTAAACATTGGCACGGGGGGAGGGGGGGCCCTCTTGTTACCATTTGTCCTTATCCACTATTTCTTAGAAAAACATCTGCTCCTGAACAATACCCTTGACTTTGATTAAACTTCACGGGATGGAGTGTGTGTGTGATAGTATGTTTATTTCTGCTTGGAGCCCGAATTAACCATTTGTCCAAGATTCATCAGCGTTCGTGCCGATCAACTTTAGAAGTCACACCGGGGACATGTTTTCTTTCTGAATCTTCCTTGACCTGTTTTTCTTGAGGAGGGGATACGGCAATACTGGCAAGGCATCACATTTCTGATAGCATCATAACAAAAACAAACGGCCTCTTATTAGCCTACCCGTACGAGGTAGTCACGATAGGTCAACTCATCGTCTCTGGTACTTGAGGTGACTTGACGTACATTGAACTGCCGTATGTCTTTTGCGAAACGACGCCTAGGGAGGAATTTGGAGATGGCTTCACATGAATGGTTTAGTAATCTTGCCCAGAAGTTGCCCTATTGGTCAAAAACGGATCGCCCAAGGGATCACTTAGTTAACGTAGGTTTTGTAGGAAACTACATTTAGGTCTTTTCTTATAAAGCTGCGATGCCAATAGCTTAAATATTTGGCATATAGCACAGTCTAATGGATCTCTATATAAGTAACTTAGATTGTGTGTAAAAATGGCCATATCTTTTGGCACATTTATGTAACCTAGACTTGTTAGCAAAAAGTCCTAAAAAGTTTTCTACTCTGAAAGAACAATGCTCAGAGTTGATTCAAAACATAGCTGATACTGTTTAATGTTCTATACTCGAGGTTTACTTTTCACTAACCATCACATTAAATGTTCATTTATGTCAAGTTTTGTGTTTGTTATGAAATGATATAAATAGGATATAATATCATGTCTATGAACTCAAATCCATGATTCCAAATATGAGATCGTTTTTTATATGAACACTTGCAAGATCTGATAAGTGTACAGAAGTTTAATGAATAGTCCCAATCTGATGCTAAAGCAGATCTCAAGAGCTGAAAATAGATCTTTAAAATCTGCTTCTCAGAAACTGTAATTTCTATATATTTGGCATGTTGCAACATATTGTGGTCTTCTACAAATTGTATTTAAATCATGACCATTTGGCCATTATTTGGTCCTGCATCGGGGGTTTACTTTTATCTAGTTTATAATTGACTTGTATAGGAAAAATACATTGTGAAATAACATTGCTCGGGGGTTCATTTATTTGACATGCAGCATTGCCAAGTCGGCCTCTTTATTAAGTAATACAAGCAATGTCCGTTACATAAAAAAAATGAACCTGCCCGTTGGTAACTTAACCTTTTAATAAAAGTATCTCGAATAGCCTTTTATACGAAATAATAATGCTTAAAGCTGAGATATTTGTCAATAAGAAATATGGACCTAGATTTGTCTTTGACTCCTCCTTAGCCAAGTTGTGTCACTTTTCAACTTAGTGCACACATGATCTCAAATCTTGCCCACTATGGACATTTGATTCTTTAATGTGAGAGCTATTCAACAAGGTGATGGAACATTTGATAATCCTTCTCAGTGTTCATATGTCTGAAAATAAATAATGAATGAAGGGGAAACTGAAGGCTTTCAAAGATACGACAATTAACTGTCGAGTTTACTGCTGTCGGTCTTAATCCAAAAGTTGGAAAGTTTGCATAATATGACCTTTGCAGTTGTACCATGGTGACTAATAATCTACAAACCCATGTATAAGCCCTTCGTTATACTTTTTCATGTCTAGAAATAAGCAACCTATAATTTGGCAATGTTGAATCATATTTTATAATTTTAAATAAGTTAAAATGATTTTAAAATTCGAATTAAACCCATTACCAGATAATAACACGCCTTTCAACGCCCTAGCATCGCCTTTTTTCTCAAAATGGTGAAAAAAATGCCTTATTTAGGACTCAGACACTTGGATTTTTGTTTGTAATGAGAAATGTTGTTAAAACAGTACCCACTTTTTTCGGCACCGCCTCCTATTCAAAAGATACATCAGAGGGTTGCCAGAAGGGGGATGTGCCTCCTTCTGTGTAACCAACACTGAACAGCTTTTGACTCTATCGTAATCCATTAAGAAGTTGCAGCACTTTGAAATCAATTTTGATGGGAAAAAAATCAACGCAAAATTGGGATTTTTGGCAATTTTTGAGATGTCCCCATGGTAACAGGAAATTTTAGACTTAGCATGTTGCTACAAAGGCAATGGCCTAGTCAACATTTGTGCCAAATTTTATTAGTATTGAAGCAGTTTTTATAGTTTTTATAGCAATTTTGAACTTGTAACGGAATTTTTTTCAATAAAAAACAGCAATTTTTTCACAAAATGCTCATGCAGTTATGACTTTAATAACAAAACACATTTTGTAAGTAATATATATTTACTGTTTACATTTAAGTATTCATATAGTATAACACCAGTAAAAATTCGATAGACCTCAATCAATTTCTGCAATAAAACAATTTACCGTATGTCTTCTATCAAAACTGTTTAAATGTTTCGGTGCATATCTACAATTTTAAAATCCCAAAAGTATAATAACTATGACATTATCAGATCCCTCACCCTATCCCAAAACACTTCCTCATGTGCCTGGTCCTCAGGAAGTTCTAGGTACGTTTGGTTTCGCAAAATATCCATTATTTCCAATGGTAATCCTTTAACTGTCACAGGTTCAAGCATCATAACCAACAACACGTTCCTTTCTGTGTGAAGAGCCTCCATTCTTGCATAGTTCATCTCACGGACGCACCAAGCACTTCTTAGAAAATCGCGACTCATGAGAATCATGGTCTTTCTTGATTTCGTTATCGCATTAACAATATTGTCGACAACGAAATTTCCAGGAATGAAATCACGGTCATGAACCATAACTCTAACGTGCCTTTTTGCCTCTAATTCAGGTACAAGAACTTTTTTCACAAATTTCCCGTTGGAGTCACTGTATGATATAAAAACATCGTAGGCAAATTCACTGGTATCATCATTTCTACAATCTACAGGTGTGTATCCGCGATGCCTCATCTTTGCAGAGTAGTATAAATAACGAAGTTTCCACCTATATCTATAGATTATGCAAGATCCAACGACTACTAGAACAAGTAGAAAGGAAAGTGAGGACGCTATTATAGTTACTTTATAATCGGCACAATCTTTCTGAAGAGTTTCATAAATTGTTTCCGCGTAAGTCAAATCCTTTGTAACACCCGATTCGTATTTGCAAGTGTATGACTTAAGCCGTCGAAAATGTTGTGTCATCTCTGAGAATTGCTTGACAAATCTAATGTAAGAACACGAACAAACAAGTTTGTTATTCTGTAAATTAACAGACAAGTCATGCTCTGTGTCACGAGAAAATTTCAGAAGAGTTTCCATGGTGCTTGTGGCAATTGTTACCAGGAGGTTATTACTGATATCTAACCAAGTTAACCAATTCATGTGGTTAATTTTAACATCAAAAGTCAGAAGAAAATTGTTCGATAAGCACAATTTCATCAATCTTTTAAGACCTGTAAAGAATTTTTTAGGTAAGGTCCTTATCTTATTGTCTGATATGTCTAAAAATTCTAACTTTGCCTGATTCTTGAATATTTCGCCATGCAAGTCATTTCTAAAAGCATTTTCAAGAAAATTTCCTGATAAATTCAAAGACAAAAGATTTGGTAATATATGAAAAACATCTGTTGACATGTCTTCGCAAGCATTCCAGGCCAAATTGAGATTCAAGAGGTCTTCTAAGCCTTTGAATGATCCGTTCCATCTCCAAAATATGTTCCTGCTTAAGTTTAATCTCAGTATTTTGTTTGGCTTACAAACACACAGGTCGTTTAATTCCATTCGTACTCTCATATCACTTGCATCAATATCAACGAGCGTTTCTGTGAATTTGAAGGGAGCATATATTAATGGACAGTTATAGCATTTTCTTGCATAATCCTCGTTAGATATGGTTTGATTATGTGATACAAACATGGATGATTTTAGTGACAATTTTCTTCTTTTATTCTTTTCATCCGTTGCAAGAGCTGTTTTTGACTTTCTCCTGAAAGCATTGACAAAGTTCTCATTTATACTTTGCATAGAGAGATTTATGAATGTAAGATTGGAGAAAATCTGTTGTCTGAATATTTCATATAGGTATCCCCCAAATAAAATCATGTTATCTTTTATAGAAAGACCTTTTATGTTTCTCGGAAGATATGCAACGGCCTCGTTAGAAATAGTTGCTAAGCGATTTGAATCGAGGTAGAGAAGACCAACAGACATATTTCTCATGAATTTGACATGCTCCACTTCAATTGTCATGCATTCGCCTATATTTTGATGTATGTTTATAAGCCTCAGTTCTCGCAATTTCTGTTTCTGTAGACCAGACGTTATATTTGCAAGCCCATCAATCTTGATATCTGGATTGTATGATAGATCAAGAAATGTAAGATTCTGAAGTATTTCAAATGAGTCTTGTTGAACAGATTCAACTTGACAATTGATCATTGTGAAGCTGCTTATCCGCTTACAGAACTTAAACATTTTTGGGTCTATACTCTTTACAGAACATCGTCCATTATAACCATTAAGTGTTAGTGACGTTAAACGTTTCATTTTCTCCATGTGGTTAGCAAATGTCCGGTTTTGCAAACCGTCAATAAGCAGTTCTTCTAGAAAATTTAGACTTGAAAGAGCCTTAGTGGGGTATTGCTCTTTTGGTTCAACATCATCAGTTGAAAAGTTTTGCTGTAAGTTCATGCGTGTTAGAGATTTGAGTTCTGCAAAAACTCCGTTAGGAATACACTTGATTTTGTAGCGTATCTTATTTCCATTTAGTTCAAGGGTTCTAAGGTTGCCAAGTCCTGCAAATGTTTCACTATGTAAAGAAGTTAAGCCAGTTTTAGATAAATCCAGATACAGCAATTTCGATAAGTGTTCGAATGATCTCGGACCAATTTTCGTGATATTGTTACCGTTTAGGGTGAGAACTGTGGTATTCGACGGAATATTTGTTGGAACGGACGTAAGGCCAGCATCAGTGCAATTCACAAGCAACAAATATGAACCATTAGTATACACAGATTCGTCCTTGCAATAACAACTTGGACACCAGGAACATTTTTCTAATTTGCCTTCCGACGGAGTCGCAGCTGTAGATGAAATAAGTAGACATAAAGACAGTAGAAAGATAACCTGAAGTGTTGCATCCATCTCTTTCTCTGTTGTGTTTAAAGAGACAGCCTGCAATAAAATTATATTACTGTATATGACCATTTTTTGCTTGAAATGATTTAATTATTCAAGAATCTTTAGATTCAATAATTGTAAAAGATGCAATCAGAATAATACATTCGAGTGATTTCTATTTTTCTTATTAATTTAAGGAAAAAAAACTCCCCAAAAATCCAAAACTCTTTTTGCAAGAAATTTTAGTTTTAATTTGTGTAAAAAATAAATCCCCTTCCCAAAGAAATAAAAACTTTTTTGGTTGTGCCCTTTTATACCAAATTTTAATTGAGATGTTTTTTTATTTTTCCCCTCTTTTTAAAAATAAAAACACAAACATTTTTTTGAATATCTGTGGGCTCCTTTTCACAATAAACCCCTTTTGAGTTCAGGGAAACAGGTAAAAGACGACTGAAACGGTAATTTAAAAGCAAATTCCTATCAGGGGAAAATCAAAAAACAAACTAAATCAAGTTTCTAATAAAAAAAAAAGGGAAAGAAATAATTTAAACATATTTAAAAAAAACGCCACAAAAATGTTTTTTGTGGTAAAATTTAGGGGCTAAAACATTTTAAAAAAATTTTCTTTGGCAAGTTTAAATATTACGCACCGACGTCGGTGATATTATATTTGGTTTAAACAATATCTATTTTTCTTCCTCCATATTTTCAAACACAATTTCAATACATAAATTGCATTCAGGATTGGATAAAAAGTTTATATGAAACTATCTTCTGTATATAATGATATAATATATTTAAATAAGTCACACGTGATTCATCATCTGAATTGAAATAAAAGAGAAAGTGTGTTGAGCAAATGTATTACATTCATAAATTCAAAATTCAGTTTATTACAAAAATGCATTAAACATATATTTCATTGTAAATTTGCAATAAATATTGAAAACATGCTGCACAAATGATTTAATTATGAGATATTTAGGTGAAAATTCATTTAATTATGTGTCTCATAGTTCAATATATATCGAGTCTTGTACAGGTTTATACCAGTGCATCATATAAATGCAAAATTGGCAAGACTATAGACACGCGCTCTGAACATTAAAATGTCTAGTTATGTTGATTTCTCATCATTTAAAACTTATTGAAAAATCAATTCAGAATCAGGGGTAAGAGACAAATGATCTTTAGACTTAATGTTAGAGATAAATTATAATGGAGATATTTCGGCACCCAAAGGTGCGGGATAACAAGTGTGCACTCTAAAAAAGTCAAGTAGACAGCGTTCTGAGTATGACCATATGGAATTATAGCATTTGTAACAATTCGGCATTCTTCGGCAAGTCCATAAGAAGTGACTTATTGAAGTCGCCTTGGGTGTTCCGATCGGGAAGATAAAAGATTTGCTATCGCTGAAGAATAATGATTTTTGACAAAGGAGGAAGTTTTATGTGAAACTTAAGTTTAAGGAAGTAAAGAAACATCATCCGAAACTTGTCGAAGTTTTTTGCTCTCTGTGAAAGTACAAATATACATGTTTAATTAATGGTTTATGAAATTTTACGTTTTACTTTAATTTTATGAAATGAAAACTGGAAGCAGGAAACATTCTAATAAGCATATAATACATACATAGCTTTATAAGCTGTATTGTCATTAAATCTTTATTTATTTATTTATTTTTAAATTTATATACAATCCTCGCGACTAAATATTTTAAAATTCACAAAAAGCTTGTATATTTTTAAAAGGAAGTAAACATTGAATGGAATTGATAAAACCGGCCGTATTATTTGGGTTTGGATAAAAAAATGCCTCAAAAAGTATATGTATGTTTAATTTTAAAACATGCAATTATTTGCTTTGTACCGGGACATTATACATTTCATTTCAATTGAATAGACTTGCTAATAATACACTAACCAAATACCTTCCAAGATGAAGACAATAAGGTCTCCTTTTTACGGAAGTTTAATGCTTACTCATGTATATTTATTCTCTTACGAAAACGAAAACTTTGATAAAATTTTTTACCAGTGTAACCTTTAGTTGCTCGTGTTATCTTTTTTTTTATCTCGATTCTTCTTTATTTCTTTTATACACGTATTCTTACTTGAAAACGTAAAACTAAGATAATTTCCCCTTTCGTTTTTTTGGAAGACGGTCTATTCATTAACCTGTGTATATTTAAAATAATATGATGTGAAACTTTGATGAAATTGCATATACAATTTCATTAACGAGTGACCCACAACGTCCAGCGACCATCTTCGTAAGTTGTGTATCACAAATGCATTAAATTCGTACTGTTTATATCGTATATATCGTGTACACTGCCGGTCAAAGGTAGCTTTAAATTTAAAAAGGATCATAAAATACGCATCAAGAAAACTGTATATTTTTACTGTATAAACTACGCCGCACAATTTTATTTATTCACCATATAAACGTTGGTGTTTTATTACGTTCTTTCTAGCAGGAAATGTTCTAAACTTAACATAGTCCCTTTGCAAGGTAGCAAGGGAATTACGTCACATAATAAAGTAGAATAAAATACGGATTTGGGTTGCGTTTGTACATATACTGATAGAAAAAAATGAAGTAAGAAACTTTTGGAGAACTAGCATTGAAGCATGCAATCAAGTACGAGTTTATACCATAAATAAGATCTTTAATTGCAGTCGATACGCATTCTTCTCATTCCGTGATATTGCTAGATAAATTGGGCGTCTAACCAGAAAATGCTGAGTGGCCAGACAGAAAAAGCCACACAAGTTTGAATACTTTGTGAGAGTTGTGTCCCACTATCAACAGCCCAAAACTGCAAAAACGTAAAACCGGGATTCGCCAGACAGTGTACAAAACGCCATTGTATTGCCTAGGTGCTCAGCGGCGATGAAATCAAGCATATTGTCAAGCCCTGTCTCACTGTGCCTTGGCGTCAATGAATTACAAACGTATGGTCGGCATGCTTTGAATCGAGCAACACGCAGCTTGTGGCACAAACGGTCTTCTTGCAGTTTAGTTTTACGAGGTCTTCCTGTCATAGGCGTATCAACAATGTAATCTGTTTGCTGTAGTCTGTGCCCAAAGCAACTTATTGTTGATTCATGTCGATGATTCTCTCACTGACAAACCAGCCATTATCATTTCCACTACTTTCAGATCTTCTACTGTCATTCCAGGTCGACGTGCCATGACTGATTTTCAAAAGTTTGCTTTTCAGTTTTAAAGATGTACACTAGCGTGTTTTTCAGCAAGATTAATGGTATTACACTAGCTGTGCACGCACCGAACATGTTTACTACCTTGTTGTATATGAAAGTATTAAAATAAATGTGTAATCAGCATGTTTAACTTTTTTTCTATCTGTATAAATATAGTAATTAATTTATGGGGATATGTAACGGTATTTCTAAATATATCAATAAAAACTTACATGTAAAAACTATTACCCATGTCTTTAAATAGAATCGAGCTATTTGGTAAAACTAGTGGTTGCATTGCTACCAGTGAAAAGAGGCTCCCGTTACAAACGGGGCATCTTTTCCCTTCTTAATCTTTTGACAGATTGTACGATAACTTGCTTACCTTAATTATTTTACTGTTCAAAATGATAATTTACATTTCATGAAAATTAGCTTGAATCAGTGAGAAGCGTACTACTCATTTAATTAATTTGAAAGAGTTTGGTGAAGAAACAGCAGACGATATCTGAAATACAATGGCTGCATCAATGTTAAAAGCATGTCTAACATATAGATATGAGAATAGAATAATACTATAATAGAACAATAAAGAAAGTACTCGACATGATAACTAAATTGGTCTGATGTAATTTTTTTCCAGAGAGCCATTATCGACTCTTAAACAGTGACAACCTTATTCAGGTTGCCCTTTAAGTCAGGACCGGTAAGAACTCTTATTATATACTTATGTCAGCATTAAGGGTGATGTAAGACAGTTGTGTATGATTGGTAAAAGCAAATATTTTAGGAAAGAGTATTATAGTTATCTATGATAATTAGATAATTAATATTATCGGCATGCAAAAGTGTGTTTAACTATGTTTGCATTATTGTTAAAGCAGTTTGGTTGAGTGTTTGAAAGACAGAATTTTACATCAAGAATGTGAAGGGTGAATGAAGACAGTATTGTATGATGGTTAAGACAGCATGAATAGTATTGTTTCAGAGTGTTGTATCATAGCTAAGGCAGCTAGAATGATGGTATAAGACGATGAGTTATGATGGTAATTTCAACATTTAGAAGGAGTAAGACAGTGGTGTATGATGGTTATAACAGCACGTGGGTTGGTGTAAAACAGATCAAATGTTAAAACGCCCATATTAAGCATCTTGCTTTTTCGATTTAGTTAAGGCTTTTCATTAACGTAAGTGACTATTAGAATCTTACAAGTACGGAATGATAGAACTCTGCCTTTACCTGAAATTGTTTAAATCAGAATTTTGAACCATAGACTGATATGTTTATCCTAGAACCTTCAAGTATGTGTCGCTTTTTAGCCATTACATAGAGTAAATGTTTAACAGGTTATAAAACTTGCCTATAATGAACATGCACCTGGACGTCCGTCCGTCCGGCCGCCTGTTAGCAGTTTTCATGTTCGGCCTGTATCCTTTGAACTCGGGGAAGGAAATTGAAACTACTTGGCAGTAATGATAACCATAATAAGACGATGTGCAGAGAGCAGGTTTTAAATTTACTTTTCTCAGGTCAACACTTTGTATAAATTTCGAAATTTTGTGTCCGATCTGTAACTTTTGAACCTATAGAAAGAAATTAAAACCTTTATAAGACTTATATAGGAAAACACATTTGAGGTTTATTGTGTGAAACTATGACGCCAAGACCTTAGATATTTGTAAACCATAAAATAACTGGTATTAAGCTTGCCCATTGGGTCAATATTTACCTTACCTCGGGATTCACTTATAATATAGTTAATATATTTTTGTTTAGGAAACATATTTTAGTCTTTTGTGAAACTACAATGTCTAGGGTTTAGTTATTTGACATGTAGCATTGCCTTGTTGGCCTCTACAAAACGTTTATTAATCATGCCCCTTGTATGTTGGCTCACTTAGTTTATATAGTCTAGTATGTGAAAACATATTTCATTCTAATTTTGTGAAACTACAGTGCAAGTAAAGATATTAAGCAAACAACACTACCTTGTGATTTTTTTGTTGATAAATATGATATACATGCCTCTATATATGGCATAGAGCATTGCAAACTAAACTTCTTTCTCTTATATGAATCATGCACTTAGGGTAAAAAATGCACCACCTTGGAGGACATAGAGTATCATAAAGATAACTAAAGTAATGCTTTTTTTCAGACAAGTTTCTTGATTGGGTCTCTACACTTATTGAAAAATTGGTTGCTCAAACACATGGTTCATTGCCCCGCCTTTGCGGTACCCTTATGATAAGTTGTTTTAGTTAGTTATAAAGATAAGGATCCTCGTTCAGATTAACGCATTTGTTTTAAATTAAGGAAAGTCTTCATATCATTTTTTTATTATCTTAAACGGTTATGACTTAAAACTCGACATATCTTTATTACTAGGACACAAGAATGGAAATAATCATATACAAAGACATGGTTTTAATTTTGTTGAATATTTATTTCACCCATTCTGACAGATTAACAAATACATATCCCCTGTTCATGCTTTGCAAATAAATGCATCAGTTTTGTGTTAAAGACGCACACGCATATACATATATAAATCATGGTTGATTCTATTCATAATTTCAGCAACAAAATAAAATTTAAAGAATAAACATCATAGATCAAGTAGTTTATAATAAGCTAAAAGGAAGAAAAATAAAAAATGTATGTCTTTATGTTCGATTATCCCCTCACTAAAAACTGAAATAGGTAAAGCAGAATCCTAAGAAATTGTTGCTGCTATCACTAACGAAAGTAATTGTAAGCTCATTGGTTGATGACTGGATCCAAAAAGGGAGTGGGACTGTTCCCGACAGCATACCAAGGCAGGCTTGAACACCATTGATCTGACCTGTATGTTTTAAAGAAATAAAGTATTAAAATCAAAAGCAAAAACAATAAAAGAGCAATAAATCATTTCATCCGAGGTATTTTAGAAATATTGTAAGCGACAAATCAGATGACTGTTATATAAACTGAAGAAATCAAGTAAAGAAACCGATAAATATTTTCTTTAGATTAACTTGAATGGTTTAACAAATCCAGCAAATATATTCTCTTAACAACATAGATATACAATAACAATATTTTACTTCCTCCAATTCTCTCTCTATTTATTTTAAAAAAAGCTGTTATACATGAGACAAAACTGAATAAAAATCTCACCGTCCCGTACATACACAACATCATTATTCAATTCAGTTAGGAAATCCCTGATTGTAACCCAAATGACTTTTCCGACATCTGCAGTTATGTTCCACTGTACACTAAGATTGTCGCTATAACCGAATGGGAATCCAGGTGAACACGTTTTGGTTTTTGGGACTTGAGTGGTAGCAAAGAGTTCTTTGAAATAAACAAATTCGTATTTATCTTATTGTGTTGATGTTTAATTGTTTGTAATCGTTAAACAAATCTGTATATTATATGTAGAATAAATATTTTTTTCTTACAAAAAGAAAAAAAAGAAAAGAAAAAAACCTCCTTAACGTGAAATGAAAGGGAGATAAATACATCAACTTGTGATTTACAACTCGAACAAAGTTTGCTCTCTTCCATTTATTACGCCTAAATATTTTAAAATCTAAAGTAAATATTTTGATAAAAATGAAATGTTCTTTTAAAGCAACTTTTAACAAGTTTATTACAATTTTAATATCATTGAAAAGTTAAAACATTGTTATTTTAGATAAAAGACTTTTATACTTACCATTAGTACTTGACACTGATTGCACTGGATCACAAGTGCATACGTAGTCATTACCTACAGTTATGCATGATTGACCTTGGGAACAAGGGTATGGATTGCATCCGTCTAAACCTTAAAATATGGATTTGGTTATTAATAATGAAGAACAGAATCAAGACGACACATGAATATTTATATATATATTTACAAGTAAAACCAAAGAAGTTATATCACAAGCAAATACAAATTTGCAAAACTTGTATTACTCCGCAGTCTGACCAGGCACTTTAATGTTGGCTGACTTACTAAATTTTCATCTTGATATCCCCAAGACTGATAATCTACAGGTAATACAAGTTCATTTAATAGACTTTACATATTAATTAGTAAGATATTTTCTATAAAAATCAAATTAGGCAAATGCTTGTTTGTTTTATGGCGCACCATCACAATTTTGGTAATAAATATCTAAAAATATAACTTGACATGTCATCCCTATTTTATCATAGATTATATAACAAAGTACTGTAACAAAAATAGTGGATCACATATTGTACCTCATTTCTGTCCTGTGTCTGCTCTGTATATCATTTTATGTTTTGCAAACCAAGTATCCTTCAATTTTCTCAACCAATTATCGTTGTTCTTATATGGACATTACGATTTATAAGCAGACATCTTACCGCAGTAGTTGCATTTACAAACTCATCAAAAATTAAACATTCCGATTTTCTTAAATTCACTTGTTTATTACATAACACAACAAAGCCATTCAACTAACAGAGTGGAGCTTGGCAAGACTGTACCATACTGGTATCGAGTAAAGTTTCAGAAGAATCCAGCAGGGACAGGTTTTAGAGATATATTAACAGAGATCCTCAAGTTTTGACAATTCATTGAATATTTAAGTTAAGTCGTTACAAGAAGTGAAATAAGTATAAACATCTTATGGGACTATACAGAATGAACTTTTCTACACAAGATTGTATAAGACTAAAGAGAATTTCCCCTTGAAAAATATTTCTCATTTGCTCATTCTGTCAATAACTATATGCTGATAGAAGGCTTATTCCTTTTTACGTCGTAATAGAATTACAATTTAACTATGTACTATTCTAAATTGAAAGCAGGGCAAATTTTATTAAAAATTTAGTAGGTTTAGAATTATAAGGTGTACATGCACCAATGAAATAACATGAATTATGTAATAAAATAGACTTTATAATATGTATACTCGTTCCACAGTCCACCCCTGTATATCCTTCAGCACATTGACAAGTGTACTCATTAACACCATCAAGACAGGTAGCTCCATTTTCACAAGTTGCATTTACACAGTCATCAATGTCTGAAACATTAAAATAACGTTTGGAATTCAGTTGTACCATGTGCAACATCAACACGTTACATGTAATTGTATAATTACTAAGGTTCGCAATAGTCTATATCTAAAAAGGCACAGAAATTATTTTCATATCTTCCATATTGTAATTACACAGCTTATTTGCTCGAAAATTCATTAGTTGAGACGTTCTATATTATATTAACATTGAACATGCCGAAAGATATTTTCCCTCAAAAGACCCTAGAATGTATTGACATAGATATACATCTTCGTGTGTTTTTCACCAGTCGTTTTATAATAACTATCGTTATACTATGATATTAACAATTCATGATTATAATTTTATTATAATAGAATCATACGAAAAGAAGCCAGAGCTAAAGAAATTAAGACGTTTTATGTTTTCAGCAAAATATATCAAAATTGTTTACTCGTTTCACAAAATTCTCCAGTGAATCCAGACCCTGAACAATTGCAGAACGTGCCTTTAAAATGAGCATTGCATTGGTCTGTCTCCATACAATCACCTGAAACATATAAGGACACTGTGATGATAGCGGTCTTAAAGTGATAAATATCATTGAATTGTATCTGACCTGTGACCAATCTTTTGAAATAAAATGGCCAAAATTGTATGGTAATTTTCTATGTTCATGTTCAAAAATTGAATTCACAATAAGCCTTGGGACACTAATCACTCGCCTCAGTGGACAGACATAAATTAGGGCGTTCTTGATTTTTTCATTTTTAAACATTTTTAACATTCTGTTTAAGGTGCAAATTAGAAAATGAATTGAGTTAAAGTTTGAAGAAGATCCAATAAGCAAGGTGACCTCATTTAAAGTGTTAACGCACCAATCATTGATGACGGGCACTATAAGTAGCTCTCATTACAGCTATTCTATAGTTATCTTACAATTTGACATTGATCACTATCAAATTGCGAAACAATTTCATTTGATAAGTATGCGCACAGATTTGCCTACAATTTGATGACAACTTTAGTATGGCTAGCGTTAATGATGCACGGTGTAGAGCTAAATAAGTATGTAAGTCCTTTTTAACAAGATAACATAGCTCAGTAAATTAAATTAAAAAAATTAAAAAAGACGCAAATATGTATGTGTAAAAATCCCAAATGAGAAGATATTTGATAATCATGATATGATAAGACATTGGAAACATATAAAATAATCAGAATTTGTTTTGTTGTAATGCAATGTTTCCAGTATTACATTGATTTAATAAATGTTTTACTACTTACATTTATAGCAGATTTTACGCGCTTTCACCTTTGCTTTTCCAAAACCCGCCGCCAAGCACGCATATCCATCTGGACACTAAAAAAGATAAAGCTATATCTAACGATTTTGAACTAATTCAAACTTTAAAAGAAGTAATTAAAAAGATACATTTATGATCGGAATTGACGTTGAAATCTTTTCTTAGATTTGCTCTTGCTATACTTTGTCAGTCCTGAGTGTAAAGCGAAATGATATTGTCATTGTTTCGTGGCACATCTCGGATTTGAAGAGTTTGAATACATCAACTCTTGTATTAACGTAAAATGATTTTATTATGTACCTCATTGTGATCATAGCATATGTTGATTCCATTTCCGATTCCAGTTTCCTTTCCTTGCCACGAACGTTTTGATCGATTTATTAACTTTGTGAACTCATTTTTGCTTGCTGCCCTCACATGATTTTTCATCGATGGTTTTGATGCGGATGTTTTCAAATTCACGAATAAAACCAACAACTAGAAAAAAACATTTGTGAAAGTATGTAAGTTAAAATAACATTCGAATGTGGCTTTAGAGAGATTAAACAGAAGAAAGCTGCCTGTATACTTTAGAAATTTAGCGAATTCGTGTAACAAAAAACATAAAAGAATATATATTTACTCACCAGACATATGATGTTAAAATATCCCATTGTTCTTCACTCACTTTATATCAGTTAAAGAAAACTAGTCCTGAAAAGAATATAAACTGATTTGTTTCAAGTATTTAACTGTCCTATTGCAATTTTGAAGAAAAGAGAACTTTGCAGTTTGTAGTTGAATTTACATAGATTAAACCACTGATTACGTCCTAGGATGTTAATGAAACCAAAGAAAGTTAAAATCATTTAAATGCTAGTATCTCCTTAATTTTTACAGACACCATTTTCAGTACCGAAGGTCAGTAATGCCAACTAACATAAAACAATTACGACTAAATGCTAAAGAATATTTAATAAAAAAAATGACCCTGAATATCTGTACTATTTAAAAAGATACGCTGGATGTGTCTCAACTTTCAAATTACGGAAGAACTGATACTTTGTTCCTGAGATAGCAAACCATTGCAAGACAAACCAACGAATTATCTACTTTTGAAACATCTATATTTTTTAATTTTTAAATTAAGAGACATTAGTTCAAGCAAATTTATTTTCAGATTTTTAGTATAGGTTTTATGTATCACAATATTTAGTATCATAATAAAACTTCATTATATAAAAGCATTTTGACAAGAAATTTTTTTTATCTTATCTTCCTTTCACGTTGGCCTGTAAAACTCAATGCTTAAGAAAACGGATCACCTTTTTCGCGATTTATTAATTCACTTTTTACCGATTCACAAAACCGCCTCTAAATAATCCGATAAAAAATGTGGATTATTTATAGATTTTGGCATTGCATTGAATCCATTTGAGATCGGTTTAACTCCATCTGTTATGAATTTATAACTTATGTTCACATTTTTTTGCATGTACCCGTCGAAAGTTTAAGACTGATGGCGATGAGTCGTAGATATTTTCTATAGATTCGAAAAGAACTTAAACCACGAGAAAAAGCTAACGCGTAACAATAAAGTTTGTTCTCCAAGCAACGTGTCTCTGTGAAAAATATAGAATATCATAAAATAATGTATGAAACAAGGAGACTGTAATGAAAATACAAAGTTTTACCTTCCTATAATCCTTTATATCAATCGATAAGTGCACGACTGAAGTATAAGACAAGCGTTCCTGTATTTATACAAATCATAACACTTTTTTTTCAAATTAATGTATATCGTTTTTCCATAACAAAATAATATCTGTTAGATAAGAACATCCGTCCTTCGGAAACCCACCCATCGGGACATAGTGACCTCTTACATTAATAATATCTGTCATATGTCAAATATCTTTATTAACCAGAATAAACAATTTTATGTCATTACAACCTAACAATTTTCATATGAAAGTACAATTAGCGTATGAAATAACAACTTCATTTATAACGGTTGATTTACGTCATCCTACGCATGTCATTGTATAGCACGAAACTTATCTAGCACCCCATGCCAGATGAAATGACCAGCATGGGCAAGAAACTACTGGTACATGTACTAAAAACAACAATACAAATATTATAAAAAAGATCATAGACCGATTGATCAATTAATTACAATGCATTTAAAGCATATACAAACAACAGGGCTTTCTTACATACATAAATATTTATTCAGAATAGAGTTAAAATCAAGGACAAATGAACATGGTTTTTAATTCAAGTTGAGGTTCGAGTATCTGTTATGAGATCAACCCATGTATTTACTTCGCTAAGCCGATATCATTATTCTGGTTATTAAATCTACCCTTTTGTGCAATGGTTTGATGTTGAGCCCTGCCTAGTTATCTAAATTATTCATCTTTAAATTGACAGTTATAGAAATTTCCTTTATTTCAGTTTCGTTATCATCTAAGAGCAGCGTGATTTAAATGACAAACATATATTTTTATATATTTTTCCCTATTGTATGCTAGTTAATATACATTATAATCAATACGTATCTAACTGCGTTATAAATTATGTCTTGATTTGAGAACGTTTCAGATTCATCACTTGATTTTTAAAAGTTTTGTCATCCTGACCTCAACAGTGCAGCATATGTTGTTTACTTGGTGTTTAATACATACAAAAAATAATTCAGTCAATTTTCTGACTTAGGTCAAGAATTTTCAGGGCCACGGAAAAATATAATCAACATGCGTAGGTATATTGTAAAAACTAAACTGCTGTAATAGACGGTGTGATGTTCAAATTATTATCCCATAGATGAACATTTATTAAATGACAGATAAGTGAAAGATATTATAACACTATTGAAAATGTTTAATTATTAATATTACTATTTCAAAGATGTTTGATGAAGCTTTATGAACATTATCGTGTTAATCATAGTTTTATTTCTCCTTTTTTGCAATTCAGTTTCGGTACATTGTCGTTTTTATGGATGTTAATTCAAAGAAGTTTAAGAGGCAATTCATTTTGTGACTTATTTCTTTAGAACTTAAATAGGTCCAGCCAGTGTTCGGTGTCCCCTCTCGATATATATTTCTGAGCTTGACAGAATAAGAAAAATACTGAAGAGTTATACTCCTCTATCAATTTAATGTTACAATTTCTTTGTATGACAAAGGTCAAAAACAGAACAACACATATTGGTTGATAATTTGTGATATGACAAAAATAAAATACACACATAAAAAACTAATTGGGCGCGGAGCTATTTTTGTTGACTATTTTGTTTTTCCATGGACCCGATTTTTACCAATTAATCCCTTCGATTTACAGCTAAGAATATATTTGGAAGCAAGAATTCCTTCCGATTCTACTATGTAAAGCCATATATTGGCTTACCTTTCGGTGATTCGCAGTATGTCATATTAATGGATGAAAACGGGAACAAATTTCATACATGAAAGCAAAATAAAAAGACAACATAAAAAATAAACTTTAAATTTGGTAATTTATTTCTTTGATTTGTATCTTCTACAGGAAATTACTAATTATTTTGAAGTACACAGTGGGTTATGTATGTTTTTATTGTTGTACATGAAAGTTATGAATAGATATGACCTTAACACTGTGAAAGGCCAAATCTATTTACGGTCATTTGTTTTGCGCTATGGACTGGAGAGTTTTGCAGGAAATGATATGCAAACATATTCAACCATAAATTGCACTCTTCACAAAGCTTTTATATCTTTGACTCGCATGAACAGTATTAATCTGAAACTTAGAATATAGCTATTGTATCTGAACTCCTAGGTATTAAAAGAAACCATTTTACTTAATCTGACATGAAAACATGCATGAAATATTATATTAGTCCCTTTTATTGCTATTTTTATATTCTGTTTGTCTATTGTTACAATCATAATAATAGAAAACAGACTTTGTTAATTTTGATAACTGTTTGTATGTTCTAAAGAAAATACATTTAATATTCTTATCTCTAGCAAGCCTACCAAAGTTCATGATGAACAATGTCTCTCATCCGCAAGTCTGTTAAAATCCAATTAGCCATTGAAACGTTAATAAGAATATCTGGTCATCAGATGCCTACTAGTTCATCGTCACTTGCTGCATTTCTTGCTTGGATGACCTTAAAAATGTACACTGGTACTTAATTTAAATAGAAAATGGGTTGTGTGCAGGAATGATTTGGTCAGGTATCTGTGATGAGCGCCTTTTTTGCGCTTAGCTTCTCAATTGCTGCATTGCATCAATATTTGTACTTGTTTTCAAATTGATCGCTTAAACTATGTTTACACAACTTAGATTAATGGCAAAACACCTGGAAATAAGTTAAGCACACCCCAGAAATTTAAAATTGGTTGTGATTGAAAGAACTGTCGTGAGATGACGGCTTAATTGAGCTAAGAAATAGTAATTTGACAAGAAGCGATACCAATTTAGTAATCATAAACCAGTATATTTATGAGTTTAATTCATTCTTAACCAAATTATTGAAGCATAAGCAAATGTGTTGATTTTACATAAAATGTAAGTGTTGTAAATATGGTGTTGGAGCGTTTACAAAACATTTACTGGTTGATATTTTTTGTAAATGTTGAGGATTATGTAACCTAAATGACGTTAAAAAAAATAAATAACGTGCGTAGCCGCCACGTGCGCGGATGATAGCCTCAACCCGTTTCCTTACACCCAGCATTTTTGCCTAAATTGTGACATGACTACAACTGAAATTTTAAATTGTATTTAGCAATGGTACTAACCACCTGTACAGGAACAAACTCTGCACGAAGAATGGCAAAATTTACCTCAAAATCGCATTAAACGCCTTACTGTAAGTAGAAGGATTTTCGCCGATTTGAAGGCATTTTGGTCATATTGAGACAGTTAGTATACCTTACGTAGCGAACTGAGCAGTAATGGCCGATTTCTCACAAGTGACTGACAATAAACCCCTCATATTGTTTCTAAGTGACTCATCGATGACAGACAAATAACCATTAGACCAATAACATTTCGCCTCACCCTTATCTTCTTTTTTTTGTCGTCATAAACTATTTATGCAATCTTATATAAGTTATTTAAAGTACCGTTAACCGTGATGATTTGCTTATGATACTTTATAAAATCAGGCCGGTCTCTCATAATGATAATTTTGTTTAATGGATTTATTTCCATTTGCAATATACAGTTTTTTTAACAGTTCGATTAAATAGACATCCCAAATGCCCAAAGCACCGGTCACAACACCATTCAACATTGAACTTGTTGTAATCAATGGTCTGGAAGGATATGAAAATATAACAATGCATGAATAAAAAGGTTTAAAAAGTTTTACAGTTGCTCACAACACTTGACAATTGATGTTGTGAGTAAAAGTATACTGGGAAAGGATGGACGAGAATACAAATACAATGGAGATTAAAGACTCTGGTTGTGAAAGGTAATGGAAAGAGCAATGTCCCTTACGATCTCTGGTATGTAAAGGACTGTCACCGCTTTATCAAAAAAAATTAAAAAAAAAATTAAATAATAATTATAAAATACACTGAAATAATTTGCCTTTTACATTGTTATTTATGATACATGCTGTCTTCAGGCACCATGATGAATTCACAAAACTTTCGGAAGCTTGATGTGTAGTTTTCATATTCCGTGACACATTTTGGGCAAATATGTATTTTAGAAATCAAGTATTTAGCATTAAAATATAGAAACTGAAATTTCAACGCAGTGAGAGTTTTAGCATTCTGACATCCACCACATAAATAAATAAATAAAACTATCAGCACAAGCAATCATGTTATACTCCGAGAACATATTCTACATTGATTTGATAGTGTAAAATCCGCACCCTGTTTAATTTTTCTTTTTCTTAATTTCTTTAATGAACCAATGTTTATTCACAAATGTTATTTTTAATGAGGATGATGTGAGTTTATCATCATACTTAATTCAACGTACGGTCTAAAGTGTGAAGTACACAGCTGACCATGCTTTTGCAGTCATTTTATGCGTGAGTAAAACCTCGCTTTTGGTTTACTTGGAAGTACACTTCGATTTTGATTGGAAGTACAGAGATATGAATGAGTATCATAGATTTTGTTATCAGTATACTCCTGAATTTATTATTTTCTCTGTGATCATACAGTAATAAAATGTACAAAATATATTATTAAATATAATATTATTATGAAACTACAGTGCAAGTAATACAAAAACATGGTCACTAGGAGTTGTTTGGGTTTTTTTACACAAAAACACACGTACGCACACACATCCGCACCCATACTCACATTTCCAACAATATTAACTACAATGTATACATATTTCGAACATAACGCACACATAAACAGCACACATATTTTTCGATTACCATCAGTAATACAGTTCTCGTAACAGTGTAAACTAATATAATAACAAAAACAGAAAG